CCATGATAGATCTCATGATTGACTGCTGCTTTTCCTCTTTCTGCTTTTCCGTCAAGGTATGAACGCATCCTAAGGAACCGAATGATAATGCGGTAATTTACTCGTATATATATTTTATCGTCCTTTTATCAGATAAGCTAATAGCTTCATTCTAACAATCGTCATAATATAGAGAAAAATATTGAATTAGAGCGATCCTGCTACAATTGACAAATTATATACATTTCATGTTTGTATTTGTATTACAGGGGCCCTATTTTCGAAAAATATCGCATACGAAAAACTAGGGAAATATACTATATAGTATACGTTACATATACTATAGCATTTCCCTTAGTTTTTCGTATGCGATACTTTTCAAGAATAGAGGCCCAGCAATGGAATTCTGTAACTATTTAAGCTGTCGTGAGTTCATAATGACTTTTAAATAATTCAATGTGAATTATATATATACTATATATGTACTTGCATATATAACATATTCATAGTCCTTCAAACTGCGCGTCGAATTGGTTTTCCGGACTTATAAACGCAATTAAATTACTGGAATAATATCACGAATTAAATTAAATTGACAAGCAATTCTTAAATAATTTTGATGCACAATCAGGCATCATATTAGCAAGGTATTAATGTACTGAAAAACTGTAAATAAATTTACATCGAATCGACTTTGAATTGACGTCGAATTGACGGTCATTCCTCACTGGGTACATAAGTATGATCTGTATATAGACTGTGATCAGTTAGGCCAGATTACGAAATTTACGGCTTGCGAATTGTAGATGATAGATGAAATAATCTACAAAACATATTGCATATAACTGATTGCTATTCTCTGTAAGATACCGCCTTTAATCTTGAAATAGAAATTTTGTTTTCGCGCCTCGTAACCGGTGGCGTTGCGATCAGCCCGCCATCGTCGCATACGATTGGCTGTGCCTTGCGATTGGCCCATTGCCAATGGCCACACGGAATTGGTTGCTGTATGTTAATGGCGCCGAAAGGAGAGTCGTGTAGCGATTTCCCGCATCTGGACAGAATTCGTTACGAGAGCTCGAGAGGAGAAGGTGAATAAAAGCCTAGTTAGTGAATCTCGTGTTATCTTTTCTTGCAACGTCGACAGAGGCTGCGGTCCACTTGACTACAAACGCTTCGAAGCATTCTTTGATTAGTCCATTCGTAAAATTCTTTGTTCTGATTGGTCGCTCAAACTCTTCGAAGCGCTTGTAGCGTCAAGTGGACCGCAGTCAGAGTTGTAAGTCCTTTCCCCTGAGGAGATCCCCAGAGTATCCTTCGGGTTAATCCTAACCACCCTTCAAAACGCCACAATTCCTAAAGCTGGTTCTATCAGTTCTATTAGTCGCATTGTAGTGTCGCAAGCGTGTCGCAAGCGTTGTGGTCCAATCAGAGTCGAGCTAGATTGATGTTGATTGGACCGCAACGCTTACGACGCTGCGATGCGACTAATGTAGAACCAGCTTTAAGCTGGTTCTTACGATTGAAGATTCAAAGATTGAAATTTGACCAATAAGGACAAAAAAATTTTAGCTTCTTTCGCTTCGATTGGTCAAATCTGAATTTTTCAATCTCAATCTTCAATGCGTAGTCTGATTCCGGCTTTAAGCTAGTGCATGAACCAATCAGAGAGCTATATTAGCATCTTGACATTGGGTGCGTTCAGCAGAACGTTTGTTTTGCAACTATTGTAAGTTTCCTTCGCGCTAATTGGATCATACTTTTAGATCTAGAAGAATGGTCCTATCTCAGCAGACAATCATAAAACGGTTGCAAAACTGTTGAGTCTGCTGAACGCACCCATTGCTTGAGATTAATACTGTGTGGATATACCCTTATGTGGCTATGCAAGTTTGTGTGGATATACCCTTAGAGCTATAAAGTACTCGCATCCATTTTGTTGCAAAACGCGTACTTATAAGTACATGTAAGTACTTACACGACATCTACAAGAATAACATAAAGATTACGATACACATTACTGCATTATGTACGCTGTTTGTAACGGATGTTGATAAATGAATTCATTCTATCTTAATTATGTAATGAACGAAAAAAAAAAAACGGATACGGCGATAACCCGCGAACTTTCTGGTATCTTTAAAAAAAAAAATGAAAGCCTCATAAATGTTAACAATTATGATTTATTTTGCATTGAAATGTGAAGAAGTAATATGTAAATTTTTAATCCTTATGATTAAGTATGTATATTTATTTGCTAATTTATTCAACATAATTTTTTTAAGATTTCCTCATCAAGCAATAATTCTCTTTTCGTTGAACTTTAAATAACGCGTAAGCGCTCAATCTTACGCATTGCTTCATTCTATCTTAATTATGTAATGAACGAAAAAAAAAAAAAAAGATAGAATAAAGTTTACAGCGTGAGCGCCCAAAGCGGGTCAACCTTCATGTCTATGAACGTCATACGCTCCTAAACGAGGACTGGCACCAACTGGTACTTGGACTGCGCGCGGGGTAATGAGGTGAGAAGAGTAACGGAAGGCGGAGTCGAGTCGAAAATCGACGGAGAAGTATAAATCGTGCCGAGCTCTGCTTGTGCTTGCACTGCTTGTAGACTCCGGACCTAGTACAGTCAGTACAGTAAACTTGCATGTGCACTAAGTTCTGTTGCACTGGAATAAAAAAACAGTGATCGCTGATATTATTTTGGGAACAGAAACCGCTTTAGTGTGCACTTTTTGACTAGTGCAACCAGTGCAGGAATAGAAAACAAATCTAAAGCTGAAGCAGTTCTTGGGATTCCGCCATGAACCATCGTCAAGATAAGCCGCATATACGAATTCAATTGCGTCGCATATAATGTTGGAGAGATTCCCTTCGCGAATATCAGTACAATATGAATTATTTCGATACTGCTGAACAGCTTTGGAAATAACTGGTTGGTGGAATGGAAAATACTGTATCTGGCGGACTCATTACTTATTGGCCCCACGTGGGAATTTCGGCAGCCATCTTCAAGTTCTTGAATATATGGATGTCTGGAAACATACGTCCGGAATAGAGGCGAGTCAAAACTCAATTTAAACGACAGTAATAATATACGCTTACGATAAAAAAAATGTAAATTTGAATATTATGTTTTTTCTTGGTTCATAAAATCATATCTTCTTTACAATTTCTAAAAAATTAAGAAAATAGATAAAGCATTAGGCTTGAATACAACAGAGGATATTAATTTTGCATCCAAATGGATTACTAACCAATAAATTATTGCTCGTTAAAGGTAATTCCTCTTTAATAGTTTTTACCTGTTATATGTATTTTCATTATTAGTATGTTTATATTATTAATTCATTTTCTCTCTCTCTCTCTCTCTCTCAAAAATTCTTCTAACATGATTTATCGTTATAATTTATTTCATTAATTTAACAAATTTTAAATATATAGCCATGGTATAATTTTCTTAAGTTATTCTCCTGGATATTGCTTAGAACTGGTGGAATCTGAGACTGAAAATCCATTAAACATTTAATAACGTCTGGAATTACTATATTGAGTTATCAATTTATTAAATGCTCTTGATTAAATTTTTCTGTTATAATTTTGGTGATATATTCTATGTATGTTATTCTTTTATCTTCTTAATTATTTTAGTTCATTGCGTATATAATATATATATATATATATTGTTTGTTCCTTATATCTTAATTATTATTCGAAATCTCGGCCATAATTTATATTCTACTTCTGTTCATATTTATATTGTATATATTTGCATAATTAGGTCACCCCCCTTTTTCTCTTTACTATTATATTTTTTATTTATTCTTGTATATTTTCGTCTCATTTATCTTATTGGTACACTTGTTTTGCGTTGATAATGGCGTCCAAGGTTAACTCACAAAAAAAAAAAAAACCAAGATTGTCAAACCTTGGAACTTTCCATCGATTTACAAGCCAGTAATTCTAAATTGGGCAATACTTCTAAGAAACTGAAAATTTCGGAGCGCAAATAAAATCAATTGGACCTTTTGATATCATGAAAATTAAAGAAGTTAACACTAGTAAAAATATCATTGATATTAATGAAAGTGGAAATAATTTGCAAGATTCTTCGAGGCAATCTCCTACTACTGACATTCCTTCGAGCCTAGCTAACGTAACGGTCAATAATTATAATCCAACAGAGAATCGAAATCATAGGCGCCGACTACGAGGGGCAGACCACTTTTGCCCCCCCCCCCCCAACAATTTTATTGGAGGGGGCAATGCCCCCTTAATAATTTTTACCTTTTTGTTTTTTAACAAAAGGTTTTTCAACAATTGCAAATAATTTCTGCGATCAAAACTGTGAGAAAGCATCGGCCACATGACATACGCTGTACATAACGCGCTTCGAGAAGCGCGATATCAGCGCTATTTGTGTCATGCTATCCTTGTTTCACATCTAATGGACGATGAAGATGAACGATACAAATAGCGCTCCCCCGAACGCAGCCAACGTTGACGCAGCGAATTAAAAGTGGTGACGCTGGCACGTCGTCTGCCTAAAGTGCCTTTCAACAAGAGACGATGTGATGACACGGTGTGACACAGTGTATCATTACATTCTTGCTGTTCGCCAATATTAAACAAGAATGAGATGATTATTGTGTTGTACTGATTGTGAGTCGCTTGTTGAGGCGTGTTCTGATTCCTATCAGAGTGTTCTCGGGTGTTATGTCATCCTTGTTTAACGTTTGTTAAACAACAAGGCTGACATGATACCCAGGGAGTACCCAGATGGGAATCCGAACATCCCCTGGAAGGAACCCCTAGTGTTCCTGCACATACACGTAAGAGAAACCTGAAAGAAGACATGAAGGCCTTTTTCCTGTAACCGCAAAATACCTTATGCACTACAGTCTTCTGAAGAAGTGGATGTCAACTACACAACATTATCCATTTTTTTTGAGATGCTCTTGGTGGAAATAAATCGCTAAAATCGTTAAAATCTTCATTAATTTGATAGATTTTAGTTATTTCAGCGATTTATTTCTATCAGTATAAGCACCGCACAAAAAGTGGATATTGTTGTGTTCCCCCCAATATTTCTCGGTGACCCTCCAATATTTTTCGCAAATTGATGCCTATGATGGAAATAATGAAAATATTAATAGATTAATTGCAATATTGGACACAAAAGAATAGGAATAAATATTCGAGGCAAAGCAGTGCACCTTTTATAGTACGTATAGAATCAATGACCGAAAATATAGGCAATCTTCATCCGGTGAGCCTAGGCAAAAGACTATTTAACAAAGTGGATAATATTTTAAATATCAGAAGATTGAGTAAAAATATTATTTGCATTAAATTTAAAGGAGGATGCCCACGGAATAGGGGGATTTCTACCCTAGAGATGGAACTTCTGAAACCGATAAATTCATTTAGAATATGATGAAATCTATCGCCCAATATCAAATTCCATTTTCTTATCTGCAAGGAAAGTTGAAAAAATCATGTAGCGACGACGTGGTGACGAAAGAGGCAGAGAGCGAGCGAGACAGTGAGAGTGGAGAGGGAAAGCCGCTGGCGTGCCCAGGGGCGTTACTGTGTTGATTGACTCATTTATAATCATAGGTGATTTTCGTAGATTTTTTCATGTTGAATTCGAATCCGTAACCAAAATTGCTCCATCACATCAGGTTTACGAGATATTTTAATCTAAAAATGTCTGAAATAGACTTTTTTGGCACTTTTGGATTAGAATATCTCAGAAACCTGACGTGATGGAGCAATTTTGGTTACAGATTTGGTTTTAGCATACCAAAAACCTTTGGGATTATATACTGCCGTTTCTGGATAAAATGGTAAGCGTTCCTCGCTGCTTGCTTAATTGGAGCAAGGCCTTGTTTGTTTATATTATTATTTTTGCGTTTGGCACAATGTCCATATGTTTTTGTCACGCAAATTTTGAGGAAATACCATAAAGAGTTCTCTTTTGCATTAGGAATATTTTGTCTTTTGTTATTAACAATAACCGGTTGTCTGATATGTGTAACTGTATCTTGTTGTTACAGTTAAAAGAGAATAAAGCAAAACAATCGAGCAAAGACAAGAGCGAAAACATGGAGTATGTGGAACTGTCCGACGATGAGTTGTTGCATAATGAGAAGTCCACGCTGCATAAGAAATCTAGCGTAAGGAACTATGCAGAAAGAAATCTACGCAGAAAAAAGCTGTAATCGGATTCTTAAATGCAGAAATTGATCATTTACGAGAGGAGACAACTGTCTCAAACTCATCGCAAAATCGGGACAGAAATATACATGGGATAGATATTGTATCTTTTGATCACAAAAAGTACGTCGTTTTTCTTTATTTATAAATATATTTTTTATCTTAATTGGCAGAAAAATTTTTACAAAAAATTATATAGATTAAAACAAGATCTTAGAAATTCATAGTTTTTCATAGACATTTATTACAGTTGGACGTAGAGTATAGCGTCATTTGTTTGAAAACCCAAGAAATCCTCTGTCCTCAAACGATATCACTCTAATAGCGTTTCGACTGGAGTGGGTTTGAACCTGAGTCGGATCGATGACGTAACATGCTTTACTTTGATTTCTGATTGGACGATTATGATACTATCGGATCAAATATGGGTTAACCGAACCGGGTCGGATTCAAACTCACTCCACTCGAAAACGCTATAAGAGTGCGTCTCATGAATATATACAAAAAACTATAAGTATTTCTAAAACAAACAAATCTCATTCTACATCCTACTATGAATTTATCTACAAAAAATTAAGAATTTCTAAGATCTTGTCTCAATCTATGTATTATACTTTTTCGTAAAAATTTTTTTTTCCGCTAGATAAGTCATAAAATGTAGGCTTATCTTCGCAATAATTTTAATATTTTTTTAAATACATTTAATAATAAATTCTGAATTTTTACTTTTAATAATGATGATAATTACAATTTTAACTTCAGTGTTAGTTTAGATAACTATAACTTTATTATTTTTCAATTATTATTTTATATAACTTATACTTTTTATTTACACATATTACTACAATATAATTGGCATTAGATAGTGTAATGTTTTGGTTTTTTTCTAATATGAAATAGTTGTTAAAGCTTGAAAAGATAGTAAATCAATGCGACAATCTGATAGAGTACTTGACATCATCTTTAGAAGAAGCATTATCTATAAGAGACACTGTAATCTTATTATAATATCTAACATTGTCTTGAATGTTTTAGATTAAGCCTGTGGAAACAACGATGAACGATTAGGAAAAGGCAATTCGCTGATTAAACATGCGCTTGACAGACATTCGTAAACACGTACAAATATTGGAGATGGAGAGAGAAACACGAAACTCCGAAATCAATAATTACAAAGTACAAATAAATAATTTAAATGAACAATTCGCCTTAGCGCCGCAGAGAAGAATCTGAATATCGACGAGACTTCGGTGCAGCAATATGCGGCAGGAATTGATAAAATCAAACAGGACATGCAGCAAGACTTAGAGAACAGACACATCAAGGAATTGTCCGCTTTTCAGATGCAGTTAGATCGACTACGAGAAAACTGTCGAGGCGTTAAAGCTAGGATTGATAAATTATACAGAGTCGCAGAAAGTTGAATCAGATGTCCACTAGTACGTGAAAGTAAAATTCAACGAAATAAAATTTGAAGTACTATCGGTATGTACAATATATATGTATATATATATATATATATTAAAAGCAATAAATACTTTAGTATAATTTTTTTATTTCATTTCTTTTATAGGTAGAGGCAGAGTATGTGCAGCGAAGAGGTGCTCACTGAGTTTATATTATCTTCGAAAAGAATAATTTGATATTTTTTAATCAAAGAACAGGGTAATAAAAAATTGTTAGGATCAAATCAATTCCAAGTTACACGTCATCGTTGTTCCTGTGAGTAAGCAATTTGTAGCGAATTGATAAACTAATTTCACGAAAGAAGAATTTACTTAATAATTAAGGAGGTCCTCCAGTCATAAAACACATATATTAATATTTACGCCTTAAACAAAAGTTGTGTGAAAGTTGTGTTCATAACATTTTCTTTTCATTGAGCAACACATTTTTATAGATTATCTATTTTATTTGTTATTAGTTTTATTGTTATAAACAAAAATTTTTTAAATAATAAAAATCTAAATTTTTTTGTATAAATATATTAAGTACTAAACATGACTTATGCAAAGTTTCATTGAGATTCATCAATTAGCTTATAACAAATAAATATTTTGTTTATTTACTGAACAATGTCTGCATCTCAATGTAACTTTATATAAATATTTTTTAATTCATATAGTACTTATGTAAAAAAATTGAGATCATTATTTTGTAATACATTTTCATATATTTCTATTAGAGTACAAATTTAAAAAATATTACTTTTTATTGAAATATATAACTTTTGATCCAGATGGTAAATTGTCTCTAATTTTTTTGTGTTACCTTTAAATGCAGTTTAGAATAATCTGTAATTTTTTTCAAATTAAGAAATTCTCAAGAAAATTCATTTGAATTAAGGGAATCTTAAAGTCGTCTGTATTACAGACTAACGCAAAAATTTTATTATATTTCATTGTATAACAATTACTTTTTTCCTCTTTTACAAATTTGAAAATCCTTATCCAGGATTGAAGTATACGCATTAGTACGTGTCTGTGAGGAGTTTATATCGACAACGAGAAAAAATTGTTTAAATTGAAATATTTTTTATTATTTCTTACTCCAATATGGCATCAGAGTTGTCAATGATCGAGTTCAGCAGACTTAACACATGAGTCTGTTGAACGCAACTAATAATGATGAGATGAGTTCCCATAATTGGACTCCAAGAATGAAAACTAATAAAAATTTTACACGCCAAATTCACTGCTTTAAATACACAAATTCTTTGCATTAGTAGTGAATTTGTGTATTTAAAGCAATTAATTTTTGTTTTTGAAACAGTACTTTTGTATTTTTAAAGCACTGATCTTTTGTGTTTTTGAAACGGTACTTTTGTGTTTTTAAAGCACTGATCTTTTGTGTTTTTGAAGAACGTGACCATAGAGCATGAAAATTTGACCGCAGCGCATGCTCGCAGCGCAGTATTTCGCAGCTGTGACATATTTCCTAATTTGAATAGTCGTCAACTTTAACGCTTAATATCTCGGTTCGCGAGGCAGAGCGACACTTGTTTCTGCCAGATTCTTTCGTTTCATGCAAAAATACATTTATTCAGTGTATTTTTATGCCATTTTGAGGTGGACAGGTTCTCTTAAACATTTACCATAAAAAATAATTTTTGGTAAAGCAATTTTTTTATGTTTAGAAAATATCTCAAATTTTTTTATACGAATCTTACAACATTTCAGAATCCATATTTATGAAAAATTCTAAAAAAAGTATAGAGTTATATTTTGAGTATATATTTCTGAAATGTGTTTCAATTCCTATTATAGCTTCTTCACTCCAACGAATGCGTTAAGGGGATGCTGGAGTGATCAAATTATTACATTACAGTCGTATAAAAATCTTCGAATTGATTGAACGGAATAAAAAACCCTTTTACAGGATTAAAGTATACAAAATTAGAAGGTGGTGCAGTGGATTTTATACTAAAATCTAATAAAAACAATACTAGATAGTATATGATAAAAGGAGATCGAACCTAAATGATGTGCGTGCGATGAAGACAAAAATTACGGTTGACTAAAATGAGACTACGAACGATCACCGAGCAAGCGAGAGGGCAGAGAATTAGAGAGAGACGTTTATAAACTGAGCACATAATGGATGTAATCTTTTCACCATGATGTTAGTGAATGTAAGCGAATAGGTGAGAGTAATTTTCATAGATGTAGTATCACGTTTGTCAAGGTAGTGACGTCGGGGCGGACGTTTTTTCGCTTCGGTCTGAATTAAATATCTTAAAATAATTATATACGCCAGGCTAATTTTTCCGAGGACAGGTATTATTTATTAAAAAAGAATAAGAATTATTAGCCGTTTCTGATAAGACTGAAACATGGCGTCCTTCCGGTTTTGTGTCTCGACTCTCGCTAGAGTGACTCTAGTTTGACTCAAATAATAGTTCATGGGTGCTTCAAGAGAACAATGACCCAAAACACCGAAGTCGTGCGTGTACAGAATGGAAACGTGAAAATAGCATCACTACAATAGATTGGCCTTTCCAATCGCCTGATGCCAATCCCATCGAAAATGTGTGTGCAGGTCATGAAGGTCAAACTCAGGGAAAAGAAGATTTTTAATTTAAAGTATATGACTCGTTCGTCATATACGAAAAATCTGGAGATTTCTTCCTGAGACAATGGGTGCATTCAGTACCACGACCGCTCATTGAGCGTTCAGTGAGCGCTTGTATCTGTTTGGTCTATATTTTTAGTTCTAACGGAATATGTCAATCAGATGCAAGCGCTCACTGAGCGCTCATTGAGTGGTTGTAGTACTAAATGCACTCAATGGCTGAAAATCTTGTGGAAAGCATGCCCCGATGCTGTCAGATCATACTCGACAACAAAGGAGATTGGACAACTTACTAAGTAAATGCATTTTAATTTATTGAATTCATTAATACAGAGCTGGAATTTAGTTGCACATTTCAGCCGATTTTCAGCTTGGTTCATTCCCCTTACCTCACCAACCCGCTGGGCCTTCAAACATATGGCAGTGAGCAATTAGGCCACATATAGAGCATGGATTAGAAAAGAGTGGTGCTTCACCGTAAAAAAAAGCGATATTTCCCGATCGGCATTTAGATTGCGCGCGGGTTGGTGAGGTAAAAGGCAGGAAACCAAGCTGAAAATCGGCCGAAATGTGCAAAATGTGCGAAATGAGCTAAATCCCAGCTCTGCATTAATAGATTATGCATTCAAATCAAATTTTTAACAATTTTGTGTTTTTTTTAGGAGAAACAGCCCGTACGCACTTATGGAACAAACTGTACGTATGTTCGATTACGAAGGTTTGAAGGATTCAGGCAAGGTTTCACTAAAGATATTCATTCAAATTTAAATATATGTATTTAGATAAGTAAAAATATATTTCAATAACCAATTACACTAGTGTAGTTAAATTATACTATTTTAAACTAACAGCTAAATGCAAAAGGGATTTAAACTAACAAATTAGGTTAATATATATCAAAATTGAATTACAATCAAAATTGGAAAGAATTTGCAATTAGGAATAGAAACTATATATGAATTCTTCTTCTAAGTCGTTTGCCTCACGTGTGAGGCGTCGTGATCTTCCGGAAATATCGCTTTTTTTTACAGTAAAGCACCAATCTTTTCTAATCCATGCTCTATATGTAGCCTGGTTGCTCACTGCCATATGTTTGATGGCCCAGTTCACACTGTTCGGCCCGCATCCGCAGCCGATTGTTGATCGGGTCGCCTGACGTAACTATTCCTTTGTAAGACATTTCCATTAAACGTTCGTGAGAGAGAAAATAGTATAGTGAGATCCCTCTCTCTTCTACATTGCAGTACCATAACCATTAGAGCTGATGCAGCCCTGCCTGTGATATCTTGATCTTAAGTCGTTTGATGAGATCCATCTCATGTGCCCTAGTCCAGTACTGATGGCTGGAAGGGCAGAACTGCTGCCCTTCCATCAGGAATGTTTATTGACTCTCCAGTTTAGATCCGTCATGTTTAGTTTAAATCAGAGTCACCTTTAGAAGGATGTGATACAAGACCACGCACAGATGGTCTTGACATCAAGACCAGTAACTCTTCTGTCCTGACAGCCATGATACCCTCGAAGCTATGAGGAGATCATTAGACCCATGTCTAAAGGTGCTTATATCTCTTTAACCCTCTTGACCCCTAAAATTTTGTTTTGCGATCGCTTTGTTGAGAAGGGGTATTAATACAATCGATTGAACAAGTTGCAACATCCAATATGATCGCTGAAGTTTTGGCAGGATGGTCCATTTTGACCATTTTTCTATTCTTTTGCCTGCCGGCTCTCTTCTTGGTTCTGCTAGTACAGCGGGCAAAGTTTTTATATGCCTTGAAGAACGTGCCTTATCCCACCGCGTTGCCGATCGTCGGTAACGTTTGTCAACTTAACTGCACACAAAAAGGTAAGTCCTAGATGGTAACTTTTCTATCATATACCTGTGATGCGCATGCTATACACAGACTTATATTTTAATGTCGATTCCGAACGAAATTTTTTTAGAGAAGTGTTCTTGGCAAAAGTACCTTCATTGGTTTGCCATTGTCTTCCGAGAGGAGATACGAGCGTATAAAAATATTTTTGGTTCTGCCAGAAATCGAACCCGGGATTTCTGGAATTGCAGATCAGTGTCATCAAAAATTATCGTACTGTAATTTAAAAAAAAACAGATTCTTAAAGCTGAAATGAATTGGTCTATCGAGTGATATAATTGCCAATTTAAAAAAATAGAATATACCACCTTGATCAAAAAGTTTCCGGAATTACCACCAGGTGATGCTCTGAGTTAGCTGATTTGAGTTCTGTTTTTTTGGTTAGGTTGCCACATCTATCATTGACATTTCCACCAAATTTTATCGCCATAGCTTGACATTTGTAAAAGTTACGCCGTCTTGAGTACATCTACCTCTGCACGTATTTTTGATTTTTTAGTTTTAAAAATGGAGTTGAATTTGCAACAACGAGTTTGTATTAAATTTTATGTTAAAAATGGATTCAATGGTGCGAAAACCTTGGAAATGTTGGGAAACTGTTTCGGCAGTGATGCTCTAAAGAAAACAACTGTTTACGAGTGCCATGAACGCTTCAGAAGTGGTCGTGAATCCGTCGAGGATGACGAACGCAGTGGCAGGTCGTCGACATCGAAAACCGACGAAAACATCAATAAAGTGAGAGAAATGTTGATTAATAACAGCAAATTAACTATCAGAGAGCTGGCAGACTTAAAGCTGGGAGACTTAAACATTGCTTATGGATCCGTTCAGGACATTGTAGTTAATGATTTGGGTTTGCGGCGTGTTGCTGCAAAGTTGGTCCCGAAGGAACTGAATTTCATGCAAAAAAGGGACTGCGTTGACATCGCCAAAGACATGATTTCCAAGGCTGAATCCGACCCAACATTCATCAAACGCATCATTACTGGAGACGAGACGTGGGTTTATGAGTACGACACGCAATCCAGACATCAGGCGAGTGAATGGAGAGCTCCAAATGAGCCAAGACCAAAAAAACCACGTCGTTTTCAGTCGAAAAAGAAAGTGATGCTCACGGTTTTCATGGATTACAACGGTATTGTACATCACGAATTTTTGCCAGGTCAGACAGTTAATAAGGAGTATTATTTGGGCGTTATGAGACGTTTGCGTGAAGCAATTCGTCAAAAAAGAAAGATTTGTGGGCAAACAACTCGTAGATTTTGCATCATGATAACGCACCGTCGCACAGTGCCATCATTATCCGTGAATTTTTGACCAAGAACGAAACGAATACCATCCAACAGCCATCGAATTCACCCGATATGGCTCCCTGCGATTTTTTTCTGTTCGATCGAGTCAAAAAACCACTACGGGAAACGCGTTTTAACAGCCGAAAGAGGAGGTAATGGAAGAATCGAAGACGGCTCTGATGGCTATACCGACAATAGAGTTCCAGAAATGTTTCGAGAGCTGGATCAAGCGCTGGCATAAATGTGTTGCAGTCGATGAGGAGTACTTTGAAGGGGACAATATCACTTTTGATAAATAAACTTGTATTTTGAATTTTCTGAATGAATTCCGGGAACTTTTTGATCAAGGATAAATTTGAGCTAAAAATTTGACATTAATTTTTGTTTTAACCATTGCGCAATAATTATAAGAACAGTGTGATGTCATTTTTAACTCAAATTTATACATAATTCTATATTTAAAAATTAGTAATTGTATCATTCGATAGAACAAAGTTTCAGCTTTAAGAATCTGATGTTTTTAATTGCAATGTGATGATTTTTAACGGAATTATGAGCAATCAAAGTCAAAATGCTCTTTTATGTAATCCGTATGTAACTTGGTAATAAAAAGTCATAGGAACATTTTTTAAAAACGAACTTTTAGGATAAACGACAATAAATTCGTGTTGTTTGTTCAACTTCGGTGAACACGAATTTATTGTCGTCCTCAGCATACACTCCATCTCACAGACACATATTAATGCATATACTTTAATCCTAGGAAAGGATTTTTAAATCAGTAAGAGAGGCGAAAAAGTAACCACGGTAGTGTCGCTGCGCGTAGCTTAGCGCCGAGATACTACCAGTGTCTCCAGATTTTTAACAAAAATTATGTGATTTAATCAGTAATACAGATAGCTTTAGGATCCCCTTAACACAAGCTGCTCTAATCATAGACATTATCTATTAGAGATAGGCGATACAGCGTTGATATTTTAAACATCGATATTTTTTTACTTTTTTCCCGATATTTTATACCGATTTTTGTCTTTCGATATTGATGTCTATCAATATTTGAACAAGAATATTGAACTTCCGATACGGGGTGCGTTCTGTTTTATGCTTACAGCACTCGTAAGCATCATTTGTCTTAATTTAATATTTGATAGACAATAAGAATTTATATATGCTTACAGCGTGTGAGCGTGAAGACGAAATGTCCCACCGTTCGTTATTAATTATGTATAAGCGCGTGTTAGTTTAGTACGGATTAAGATTGGATTGAAACTTTCATTATTTATAGATACTCATTATTGCAAGACTGTATAAGATTAGAATTATATAAGTAAATAAAAATAAAAACAAATGTATAAATGTGTATATATATAAAATATATATATATATATGTAGGGGAGAGTGGTCTAAATCGGATCGTGTTCTAAAAAGGACCTTTTAATTTAAATGAATACGGTTAAGCAGATTTGCGTACTATTTATAACGTAAAGTCTTTATAAGACACCGAACATGTGATAGCAGTTTGATAGTTCTCGGTCATAACATTCATAAAATAAAAGCAAATATGTATTTTCAGCCATTGTGCGAAAATTTTTTTAAAAAAAGAAATCCTTGTAAATCATTATTTAAAAGATGTTAAAAATTTGAAAAGTAAGTGATTTAATATAATTAAAGAATGTAGAATTAAAAAATATCAAGCATTTCGTGATCACTTTCGCGGTTTATTGTAAAATTTGTTTCAAAGTTCGAAAGGACCCGTGTCCAAATCGCACAGTACAGTGAATAACTTATATGCCTGGTTGTAGTACTGGTGATCGGCTGACTAGATCTGGTCCAAGTAATTAAATCATGAATCGTTAGACTCAGATTAGTTGAATTTTATTGATTTCAATTCTAATAATATAAATAGTATCAGTATTTTCTTTTTCCGAAAAAAATGTTTATCTTTGACTGTCAAATTGCTCGTTTTTACTCAATTGGCAAAAAATTGCAGGACACCCTGTATATATGTGTAAATGTGTTGAAATCTTGTTAAAATATAAATATGTGTGTAAATATGTATATATATATATAATATATATAATATATATATCAATTAGCTATTTTGACGATATTAAGAAAGTACCAGTATTATTGTATACATTAGAAAACATTGATTGTGCGACGTATATATTATGAAATTTTTTACGATATAATACTTCAGTACCTGAATATGTATAACCAATTAAATATAGATCGGTTATTTCGACGACAGTACAAAATTATATACAATAATATACATTTGATTAGTACGGCAACACTGTTATTTTATATAGAACGATCCCATACAGCACCGAAAGTTTTCAGAAATATTTCAAAAACATTTCAACTGAAAAGTGAAATTTAATATTTCATAAAAGTTGTGAAATATTTCAGAGATAACTCTGGAATAGTAAAATATCCGCGATTCTTGCACATGAAACCTTGTTAAAAGATAGTTGAAATGTTATAGAATGAATCTGCAATCTTTTTGAAATATTACCGAAAAGGTTTCAACTATTTCTAGTACTTCAAAAATGATATTTAAATTTATGTTTAATTAATACTTAAATAATATTTAAATTTATCGACATAATAAATTTAAGCGAAGAGAGAGCTAGGGATTAGGGAAAGGAGCAAGAGAGTGAGGAAAGGACTAAAAATGGCGGATGCGAATACTCATAGTGCCTTACTTTAATGCCTAATTCACACTGGACGCAGCAAGCGTCAAGCAGCGGAGCAGCAACCAATCAGCAACGCGATATTGTTTAGGCCACTGTAAATATCGCCTCACTGATTGGTTGCTGCTCCGCTGCTTGACGCTTGCTGCGTCCAGTGTGAATTAGGCATAAGGCTGAGTCCCTATGGAGAAAGAAACAGCGGAACGGAATCAGAACGGAATATTGATAGAAAAGAGATATCCTCATCCTATCTCTTTTCTGTTAATATTCCATTCTGATTCCGTTCCGCTGTTTCTTTCTCCATGGGGACACAGCCTTACCCTCGGTGGAAACTTATGGCGTTTTCGAATGGAGTAGATTTGAATCTAACCCGATTCGGTTAACCCATGTTTGATCTGAAAGTATTATAATCTCGTCCAATCAGAAATCAAATAGCATTTTCGGCCCGGCTGGGTTTGTTCCAACCTGGGTTGGATTAATGGCGTTTTGTGCTCTCCTATTGGTAGAGCGGAATTCGCGCTGATAAAAAGTAGTACAGCTTTTCCATCAAGATGTGAACGCGCCTTTATAAACCAACCCTAAACAGTGTCCAATCTCTGACTAGTGCCCGTATTCATAGTCAGACCTTATACTTAAGGTTTCCTTAAATTTACCTTTAGATGCTCAGTAGCTAATGAAATAATTCGTGCATCTGAAGATAAATTTAAGGAAGCCTTAAATATAAGGCCTGACTATGAATACAGGCCTTGAGGATCTCTATCCTGTCAATCCTTAAAAGTTGGTACGACTGACGCGCGACCGTTTTAGATAGAACAACTGACCAACCGCTTTTCCAACCGCTTTTGTTGAGCGTTTTATTAATTTTGATTGCCCTTCGGAGGTTTATTCTTTTATTGTTTGATCTGGCGAAGCAAGCGATACCGTGGCACGAGCAAAGACCTTATGACAGCTGGCAACCAAGATCGGCCATCGCGGAAGTGTCAAATTTGAAATGTAGCGGATGACAAGCTGTGAACTTGTAGCTGACAAATATTTAGTTTTGCACTCTTCATGCACGTCGATCCGCGGATTCCGTCAGGATGAGCGCGACGCAGGATGAGGACGAGCATAGAAAACGCTCGCTGGAGGCCGGCAGAGAAATGGTAAATGTTTCTTCTGTTCATTATCCATATCACCTCTAGTGTATACTCTTACTACTTGCTTAACAATTAGAGCAGAGCCTTATTTGTTTATATTATTATTTTTGCGTTCCGTGCATTGCTCGTCTGTTTTTATCACTTTAATTTTGGTGAGACATTGGTGCTTTCCAGCAAGAGACATTTTGGTGTGACATAGTGATCATGTCATCTTTGTTTAACATTGGCAAACAACAAGGATATAATGATTCATTGTTTTATACTGTGTCATCTGTGTCTCTTGCTGGAAAGCACCCATTATAGATAGTTCTCTTTTGCACTAGGAACGCTTTGTCTTCGGTTACTATCACTGATCAGTTGCTTGAGATGTATCTTGATTGTTATAGTTGGAAAAGTATAAAGTGAAACGATCGAGTAAAGACAAGAGCGGAAACATGGAGTATGTGGAACAATCCGATGACGAGTCATTGCATAATGAGAAGTCCATGATGCATAAGGAATCTGGCGTAAAAAAAAAATAACACATGTCTGAATGTTTATTTGATTTGCAGCGTTTCTGCATAAATTGCTTTATGTTTGTTCTCTATTAGATAACTGAAGCCATATCCTCAAGGGATATAACATACAGCAGTGTTAGTATAAGCGAGGGAGAGGCAGATGCTGATTTGGAAGGACTGGCGGGACGAGTCGCAGAATTGGAGGAATTATTGCAGGGAAAAGAAGCTATAGTTGGGACTTTAAATGCAGAGATTGATCATTTACGAGCAGAGACATCGTCTCCAAACTCATCGCAGAGCCGTGGCAGCAGTATACATGGGAGGGATATTATATCTTTGTATCACATAAAAGTATGTTGCATCTCTTTGTTCATAAACATAAATTTATGTTAATTCATAGAACGTACACTTATCGCTTATTTTATATATTTTTTATATTTTAAAATATATTAAATTTTTTTCTCACCTTTTGATTTTGATAATAACAGTAGTTACAATGTTAGTCTAGATAGCATATAATTTTATTGTTAAATTTTTTTAATATTTTATATAGCTTACATTTTATTTTTATTTGTAAATATTGTTATAAGATAATTGACATTAAATAATGTGTTTTTCATAAAATAGTTGCAAGAGTTTGAAAAGGCAGTAAATCAACGTGACAATCTAATAGAACATTTAACGTCATCTTTGGAACAAGCATTATCTGCAAGAGACACTGCAACGGCACAGCTTAATGCTTTGAATTCCATGCAGTTGAACAATCCTATGATAGACAACATGAATTTGCAACAAAAAGTAAGCGACACGCTTCTTACATTTTGTAGTTATTAATAACCTTGCTATAAATGTCCAATATTGTCCCGAATGTTTTAGATTAAAGCTTTGGAAATAACGATGAGCGATCAGGAAGGAATAATTCGTCGATTAAATGCGCATTTGACGGATATTCGTAAACACGTACAGACATTGGAGATGGAGAGAGAAACACAAAACGCAGAAATCAATGATTACAAAGTACAGATAAATAATCTAAATGAACAAATTCGCCTTAGTGCCGCAGAGAAGAATCTGAATATCGACGAGACGTTGGAGCAACAAAAACAGTATGAGGCACGAGTTGATAAAATCAAACAGGATATGCAGCATATCTTGAATAAATTTACCACAGTGACAAATACTAATGCAATACGCCATCAGCAAGAGTTAAAAGTAAGTATTTCATGAGGATTTTTTTCTATAATTAACTAATCTATAAATTTTTAGTTTATGAATATTTTTAGCGAATTTTAAAAATGATACGTAATATCTATACGTAGTAATATCTATAGGTAGTGAAAAATAGTCATAGCTAAGTTGTTTATAGCAATTAAAAAAAAGATTTGCTATATTGATTTTTTATTCATAGGAATTAACTTTGAAAAACGAGGCTGAAATTACGAATACAAAAATCAAGCACGAAGAGTGCATGAAAATATTGAAGAACGAAAACAAAATGTTCGCCGATCGTTTAAATAAGGAATTACCGGATTTAGAGAGCAGACACGCCAAGGAATTGTCCGTCTTTCAAACGCAGTTATCTCACTACAAGAAAACTGTCGAGGCGCTAAAACTCGAATTGGTAAATCATGCAGAGTCGCAGAAGATTGCTCAATCAGAAGTTCACCTGTACAAAGTGAAACTTGACGAATTAAAATTTGAAGCAGAAAACGAACGGCGTATGCAAAATCTGCATTTTCAGAAAGAGAAGGAGTTGTTGAATGAGCAGATCAAATTGCACAAAATTCAACTGGAGGAAATGACGTCGAAGCACATCGCTTCGATGAGTATCTTAGAGTCTAAGGAGAGTATTGAACGATCATTGGAGCAAGCTTTGTCGAATGCTGCTACATTAAAACAGGAGAACGATACGCTGAAATTTAAGCTGGACGATTTATCATGCAGATATTCCACGGCACAATCGATTATCGAAAACAGTCAAGTGCACGATAGGACTCTGAGCGGTAGACTATACATTGGAGATTTGGAGAAGTCTTTATCTCGATTGGATGCTACAAGTGTAAGCACAGTCAGTGAATTAGGAGAAACCATGTATAAGACTTTCGACGAGGAAGTTGTTCAGCATCAGCTGATAAAGCGAAAGCTCGAGGAGAAGATGGAGATAGAACAGCTATTAGTCGAGAAAGTTTGTGTTCTTGAGACAGATTTGGCCAAAGCGAACAATAAATTGGAAGAAGCCGATATCGCAAAGAAAACATACGAGAAGCAACTCAAGGATATGAAAAATACGTGTGACAAATTTCAACAGGAAGTCATTTCGTTGAGAGAATTCAGTCATGCAACATCTAGTGATGCTTCCATTCAGAATTCTTCGAAAAGTATTCTGGTGAATATCGAGAGCGATTCAGCTCGGCGAATAGAAGAGCAACAACGGGAAATAGAGAGCTTGAAGCTACTAATGGAGGAGAAAGAGGCAGAGAATGCGAGATATAGGAAAGATTTGGCTGAAATGACGGAAAGAACACAGCAGATAGAAATGCAGTGCCAGCAATTGACGAATGGCTTAGCTCATGCGTGGACACAGTGCGCCGAATTTGAAGAAAGATTGAATCAGACTTTGGGGTTGAGCGATAGCAGTAAAATGAATATCTCCTTGAATAGCACGATTTCGTCCAAGCACTTGAAAGAAAATCAGAACTTGGATGATAGTATATTAAATCAAAATACAGCAAGCCAGAAGAAACTTTTGGAATCGAATATTGCCGACACATTAATAGATGCAAAAAACAATTATCTGAAGAACAATGAAAACTTATATGAAGAGTTACAACAAATTTTAGAGAACAAGCCGAATTTGGACGAAGTTAAATTAAAATTATCTCATTATTATGCACTGTGTGAGAAAATAGTCATCGTTAAGGCGCAATCCTCGAGGGAGAATGTCACTTTGCCACAGAATAGCGAAGACTCGTTGCAAAAGTCTTTGGAAAATTTGTGGACAGAGAAGGAAAAGCTAAGCCAGGAAATCGAGGAGATGATGAATCGACGTAAAGCAGAACTGGAATATGTTAAAGCGGATTCTGCCAAAGAAATCAGTAGACTGCGTTCGTTGCTGCAGAATTTCAAGGCAAGTCATTTTTATTTTCATTCGATCTAGAACAATATTTGTGTCTGTATTCTTAACTACGTTGGGCAGAACTATGTTATATATATGTTTTAAATAATAAATAATATTTAATATAATGAATAATATAAATTTATTAATAATAAATATATAATTAATAAATATATAATAAATTTATATTTTCTATTCTTTAAGGATGGTAATGCAAGTCTAAATGATCTGAAGACTGAGCTCGAAGCACGCCATGCCAAAGAGATGGAAGAACTAAGGACATACTTCGAGCTGAAATGCTTGCAAATGGAAAAACAGTATTCTGAGGAAGTCTTTAGTCAACAGTCGAAACGAATTTCCGACGATAGCGAAACCGAGGAGCTGACAGACGATTTGTATTTTGGTGGTGCCGGAGATTGTTTGAACGTGTCAAACTCCCGAGCAGCAACACCTAGTGCCATCGAGGAATCTCTGAGAAGCAAGATTCTGGATGCTGAAAACCAAGCACGTCTTGAGACGGAATATGAGGGTAGCATCCAAGCGTTGCAAAAGGAATTAGAACTCAAAATGAATGAAATTCAGAATGTCAAGGCTGATTATGAGAAAACGCTCGAAGAACAGAAAGAATTATATGAGTGTCAAATTCGCGATATCGAGGCAAAATTGGAGCATGCATTGATTGTACCTACTGTGCACCAGGTGAGGAAAAATTATCTGTTTATAGTGACTCTGTCTTATACTGATTTGTCAACAACAGCAATTCTTGTCTTTAATGTGTGTTGAAAATTCCTGTATGAAGTTGTAAACGCATGGTGTGATTAGAATGTATTAATTATCACTACTATATTTCTCATCTTAATGCTGTCTTCATGATTTTCTGTGATCAGTAATGTTTGTGATCTCATACATTTATTGTAATTAATACATTTTTCGTTATTGTGCAACAATAATAAAATAGATTAATTGTGTTCCGTTTCGACAATTTATATTGAAATGTAAATTTATTTGTGACTAACGTATTGCCGTGTGACTTCCTGTTTGCATGTAGTATTGTCAGACAGAATTGGAAGTATTGGAAAATGGTGAATTGTCGAATCTGCGTGATGCATATAATCATCAATTAGAAGAGCAGATTGCGTTAGCTAGACAAGACATTGTCAACGCTCTTCAAGAACAATTTCAGGTAGATGGATTATGTGTAAAAACTGGGTTCAGAATGAAATAACAGCATAGATTAAATCTAATTAAATGATTCGGTCATTTTCTTGAATGATAATTTTTGAATGTTACTCTAAAAATTGTGGCTAATGTATTTGTGGCACCTTATTAGGCACTATTAGAAGATATTTATTGTAAAATCTGTTAAAATTGTGTAGGTACTATTATCGGTGGAAACAGACAAAGAAGATAATTGGCCAGCCGAATTATTAGAACTGAGAGATAAATTCACATCCAACGCTAAACAAGAAATCCAGGAGTTGAAAAAAGTACATGCCACTGAATTAGTTCGTTTGAAGGATGAACAAAGTTGCATTGTAACACGAATGTTTGAGCAACATCAAAAGGAAATTACTAGTCTTAAAACGAATACTGATGACAAGCAAGAAATTAGTCGTGTCGGAACTTTAGAAAATATCATGGAAGAAAGGTAATTGATAAGTATTGAAATATTATTTTATGATTTAGCAGATAAACAATTTAATCGTTAAAAAAAAATTTTAAATTGAAATATTTAATATTTAAATTAATTTAACATATACATTTAAAAGACATTTAGAGTTTTTTCCTGTTATATAATATGATTACTCATATAATATGTATTAACTATGTAATCATTGCTTGAGTATGTTACATCTTATTTTTATCAGGGACAATCTGTGGAAGGCATGTGTAACTCTTAAGAATCTAATTGGAGAATTAGTTAACTATTTCTCTGTTTGTGAAGAAGAAGTTAATAATACTCTGATCAATGAAGTTTTAAAAAGACAATTGTCAGAGTCCGCTTTTACCGATGAAGAGAATTTAAATAAGAGTAACAACACCGTTTTATCTGAAACGCCGCATAAGGATCCATCAAATCAACGAATTAAGAAAGTCCATTTTGCTCCGCAATCCACAAAAATAGCTTCCATCATTAACAGCGACAACAAAATGTTGCAGAGTTTAGTTGATGAAGACACAGACGAAATATTAAAAAAAGAGCTGAAAGCTTGTTTAAGACGCTTGAAGTCTGATAGCACACAAGTCCTCAATCTGTCGATGTCTGAGGGTGAGAATAAGATCGCATTGTCGTCAAATGATGATCTCTTAGCAAGCAAAATTAATGAAATTAATGAAGAGCTCTCCTTGAAACTGAATCATGCTGAGGCTTTGATCATAAATTACCAAGAAGAAGTAGAACAATTAAAAGTACATATTTTGGAACTTCAGCGAAAGTTGATTAGCGTGGAAAGCAAAAAAGAAATCATCACGGAAGGATATGGCGAAAGCGATCTTTCTAGGGGCGATATTGTGTTGCAAGATTTTTCGCAAATACAAGAAAAAGGTAAATTTTTATCTTATTTTTATGTAATTTTTATATAATTTAGATGAATATATATACATATATATTAAAAATGAATAACCTCGTTTATATTTACACTTTTTAATTTCAAATTGATCATATTATCATTTCAAATTAAAAGTTTGAACTTGAATATATAGATTGCATTAGTTATTCTATCCTAAATATTTTTAACATTTTTTATTCTTTATATTTTTCCTATATGATTGACTTTTTTTTTTAAATTGAAATTACAGCTAGACATGTATTATCTAATGGTGGTGGCGACATATCTTATTTGCTGCAATTAATAGAAGAGCTATGTAGGCAAAATGATAAACTAATAGATGACGCTAGGAAAGAGAGGGAAGATTTACAACAACAGGTAAAATCGTTTATTTATTATTTTCATTGAAAGTGCATTGTTGCATGATTTCTAATTATTCGATCTTGGTATGACAGTACGGTGATGAACATTGCGGTGTATTGAAAACTTGTCTTTGTAATTCATTAAGTCTACACACTTCTGTATATCTATGAGCTTCGTGTTTACAATATGTATATGTTTTTTACCGTATATCAACAATTAACACGATCATTTTTTATTTGTATAGCACATTATTTTACACAATGTAATTGTAGTACAGTTTGTTGATATTATTCATATATGTCTATTATTTTGATATTTTAATATTTCTTTTGATAAGTAGTACCAAAATTAGAAAAAATTATTATGTTGTACTATGTACAGAGTACATTTTTAAGAAAGCGAAATATTTAGATTCTTTTATCTCCGAAAATCTTTACATACTTTATCTGTTGAAATCATAGGCTTTTAAATCTTTATATGTGCTATTTTAAACTTTAATTTTTATTGAAATTTTTGTTTTCTTCATCCTTATTATTCCATGATTCTTAAATACAGAAATTCTTAGCTTTATTGAGCTTTATTAATTAGATTTTGAACTTTCTAGCAATTTAAAGATATATTCACTTAATTTAATATTCACTCTTTTCTTTATACATCCCGTATAAAATAATGATTAGTATTCCCCAGTAATTATAAAGCAGCCAGAAATTAGAACATTGTGCACATATGGCAGTTTAAATCTATCAAAAAATATTCATTAGTAAAACATTATTTAATTAATCAATAAGAGGCATCTTCCAAATCAAAAGTGCAGAGCTCTGTGATGCAGGTTTTAAAAGATTGATTGGCGTTCTATTGTCTTGCCAGCAGGTACCTTTAGAACCTACTCCTACCCCATACATTCACAGGGTTTGCTGCAAAAAGGTAAATTATAGAATTACTAATATTACTGTAATAATGCTGTCCGTAAGTTACTTGTAGATCGAAACTAAATTAATATTTATAATATTTCGTTGCAATTAAGAAGAATACAAGCTTTATTGAGAAGAATAATACAAGCTTTCATTGAAATGTCATTTATCTCATTTCTAATATTTGTCTATAGCAATAATTGCACATATGTTTATCATATAGTTACTAAAAAGTATATACAATTTAATAATTACTATATTTGTTAATATATATTGCATGTTGTTGCAAGATATAATAATTGCTTTGCATGCTATATTATAGACGTCTTAATGTGTCACTATATCTGAATATGTCTTCTGTTATAGATTTTTCTTATTACGTTGCTTATTTTACTGTAATCAAAATTTGTTGAAGTATAATTTTTATTGATCCTCTAATTTTGTAGTTATATATTTGAAAATTAAATTAGTATTCAAATATATTTGGTTTTTATATAAACCAAATATATTTAAAAAATATGTTTAAAAAATAGCAATTTTCTATTTTTTATGTTTTTGATGTCTTAATTTTCAGTATCAAGTAATTTTTTACATTAATAATTATATTTATATTTTAATATTGGAATAATCATTTTTTTCTTTGTTTTATTTTCAATACCTCTTTGCCCGAAAGATTATTCGGTAACATAGTTTTATAGTTTAGCTTATTTTCCTTTGTACTATTTTATTTTACTATGAATGGGGGAGGACATGGAATTAACTGAATGATTAAAGTATTATTAAAGTATTTCACCCAGAGAAAAGTTTCTTTGATCAAAGAAACGTTTCTTTGCTATACGGTTAAAGAAAAAATTTCTTTGATTTGAAAATTATTTTTTTTAATGAAATCAATTTTTTTATTTGATTTAAAAAAAGGTGATGTTTCTATCTCTATCTCTGTCTCTTAAAATATTTGAAGCATTGATTTAATTAATTTCCTAAATCTTAATACAATTTTTTTATATATAAATCTTAATTCTGAAAAATTTTAAAAGAATGATTATCATCTTTTTTTCTTACATATAGATATATAACTGACTATTACATGAAAATGACTTAAATAATACAGCAAATAAACTATTCTACTTTAAGTTAATTACTTTTATCACATGCGCGTTGTGCGTGGGATACGATAATTTCCTCTAACTAGAACTATACGCATTTGTTTAGATTGAGGCAGCGGACAAGCAGTTACGAGCAACTCGTCGGTTTCTGGATGAACAAGCGAGCGAGCGCGAAATGGAACGAGATGAAGCTGCGAAACAAATTCGCTTTTTGCAAGAACAGCTCAAGGAACGCGAGCGCGACAAAGAAAGAGATATGCGTATTACTTCCGAGGTAAAAACTTTCATTGTGCTTACTTTTTTTTTTCAAACGTGACAAAAATATTTTTTGTTGAGTATAAACACGATATGCTTTTCATAATCACCCGCTGTGATTAGCTTTAGGGTTTATTGTTCCTCAATTAATCCTTAATTAATGCCAATTAATGGACAATATTTATATATACTAAATATTGTAAAATATTGTCTTTAATATATCAAAACTTTTTTGCAGTATAATTATTCTCAAAAAAATAAACAGACATTGTTTTGATTTTTTTAAATTTAGAAATGTTAATACAGTATAAATCCAAAGAAAATATCATGCAATAATTTAACTTATGGCTAACTAAGGATTAATTTATTTAATACAAACTTTCTTAATTCGCTGTAGTAATTACTGCACTAACCAGGAAATTTCAACTGGTATAACGACTGCCATTTCCAAGATTTAACTAGGTTTCTGTGGTTTATTTAATATTTAAAAACTTAACATAAACTTAAAACTGCTGGAAAAAGATTGCATTTTGATCTTTGAAAAATGGATTGCATAATTTATCCAATATTAGAATATATTAGAAAATAGATAAAATCCTGTAGTACCATAAATATGAATTCTATATTTCTAAATTCTATATTCCTAAAATACGTATTTCGTAAAACATGCATTTTGACCAGCAGGTTCCTTAATCTAAAGATAATTGTTTTGAAAATAGTATAATATAGAACGTAAGTTTAACTACCAATTGAAAGGGCTATCGGAAATTAAAATTGTATCGCCAGCAATTAGTATCACTCATCACGACTAATTGTATTAACACAAGTTTTTTTCTGCACTCTGGTTTTGGTTTTCTGTTTGTCGCACAAAGCAGTCTGAGCTATCATCTGAAAGAACAGACATCCCTGAGCTTCAAACGACTGACATCAATGCAGCTGTGAGTGTTGTATTTACTTTGATTTTTTAACTTTTTCTACGTCTTTTCATCGTCATACAGTGGCTAAGAAAAGTACCCGTATTTGCCAAAATATTTGAGTAATGAGTTATGTAACAATTTACCTATTTATCTACATTTACAACGTAACTACCAAAATGCATTTAAATACTTTACAAATTTTTTGAACGGTCTTGAAGTAAAGTGTTTAAATGTGTCGTAATAAAAAAAAAGTTCAGACTACTTATAGATAGAATTATATATCATATTTATTTATCATCTTTCTTGAGTAATTTTTATTTTTTAGTAACATAATTATTTTTATTAATTAGATAATTATATAATTATTTTTGTTTCTTATCCACTGTACATTAGCTTAAAATAAGTATAAAGTAGATATAATACATACCGTATCTGCCCATGCTTTACATGTTGGGTCATGCTTGACTGGAAATATAGGTGACATCCTGTAAAACCGATGCGTTGATAACTCGCATATATATATATATGTATGTGTGATTTACGATCTAGGTGGAGGCTCTCGAATCTCAAATGAGAGAGATGTCGTCATTAATGTCCGACACCGAGGCGAAGAAGTCGGAAAAGGAGAGTGAATTGAGGGCTGCAGTGGACAAAATATGGGTTTTACGAGACATCATTGCTGACTTGGAGCAGCAGTTACAAGCCAAGATTGAAAGAGAAGAGTCCTTGCAAATGCAAATTAATCAATTGGAAACGGTGATAACCGCGCAAACGAAGAATCAACAAGAACTAGTTCAAGAGCTGGATGCTATTAAATCTGGTAGTGAGAACAGGCATCTGAACGAACAAATTAATCATTTGCAAGTAAGTAAAGTGAGCAAATGCATAAACAATATATATAGAAGGAAAATGGTTACGAGAAAGCTCTTTGTATTTTTAGGAGGAATTGAATAAACACAAGTTAAGTTCAGAACACTTCAACGTTAATTCGTCTGTCTTGAAGCAAATGAAAACAGAATTGCATGAGATGCAAAATCAGTTAGACAAGAGAATTCGAGAGATGGAATCTGCGCACATGTGTGGTTCCAATTTAAGTTTGAGCCAGCCGAGCGAAGACGTATCGATCAGAGAGCAAATCGATGCGACGAGATGTTTAACACCGGATGATCCGTCCTTGCCGCCGATGCTACCACTGGATCAAGTACTCAAGCTGAAAGATAAAATGCTAAAGCACGCACGTGCGGAGGAAGTAGCGTTCAAGAGGATCAAGGATCTGGAGATGCAATTGACAACGATGAAAAATCAGAATGAGGAATTATTAACAGAACAAGAGATCTTGCACCAGACCGCATCCGAGCAATTGTTCCAAATTGAAACAATGCGTGGTCGCTTGGAGCAGCACAAACAGAGCGCACCTTTCGCTCAGAAGCAAGCGACGTCTCGTTTAGAGTTGCAATTACACGAAGCTACCACGAAATATCATTCCCTGGAACAGATCATTACTAATAAAGAGATAGAATTGAAAGAGCTGAAAGCCCAACTTGAAAGGACTAATCAGATGTTGGCAGAGAAGGAAGCAGAAATGGAAAATTTTGTTCAATCGGAAAATGGCGCACTGCAAAAAATCGAGCGGCTAAAAGATCAATTAAAGCTCGTTCAAGAGGAAAAAAAAATGCTACAAATAAAACTTGGAACGCAGGAGCATACTCAATTAGAATTGCCGCAGTTAATTGATACCATATTGGCTGATAAGAACGAGGAGATCGATCATTTAAAGGAGCAACTCTCTAAAAGGGAGAAACAATTGAATGTCTATTCATCACTCGCTTTGGACGATGTGCAGCTGCGGGAACTAACAAAGCAAGCGGAGGCCAAGAACAGCGCGCGAACGTTGAGCGACATTCTCTCCATTCATTCGGAATGTGAAGAATTCCCTGAAGCTACTCGAGCACCTAATATGACATTTACAACATCGCACAATATCTCTAGTTTCAAAGTTCCTACGTCCTCGTCGAAGAATACGTTACGGATGAACAGTTTCAACACTTTAGAAACACCTTTGCTCGATGTGGATAAGATAGACGCGCAAGTACCACCGTTAGATTTGCATTCCAATACACATAGTTACAGCAACGGAAATGTTGGTCACTCGGGAATGGAATTGCATCGTTCCGGAGAGGAGTCAAAATTATCATCTCCCAAAAACAATGATATCAGTGAGGACTCTCAGCGAGCCGAGGAATTACTCAATGAGAAAGTGAAGGAAATCGAAAATTTATCAAATCAACTGCAAGTTCTGCAACAAGAACTAGATTTAAAATCTGATTTTTTGAACAAGTACGAAATGGAATTGGTCACCTTGCAGAAACAGTATCAAAACTTGCAAGATGAGTTCAAGGAAACTGTCGAAAATTTGGTGCGGGATAAAAATTTCTATAGAGGACAATATGAGCTGGCCCAGGCGTCGGAAAGTAAAATAAAGAAAGATCTGGAGGAAGTAGAAAACATTCTGAAACTGAAGTCGGAGGAGCTCGAAGATCAAAAAGATAGAATGCAGGTGAATGAAAGGATCATTACAGAATTAAATGCAGAGAACACAAAATTGAAGAGAGAAATCGAAGATAGAGAGAAGGATCAGATGAAAAGAAACAACTCTTTGCAGGATATGACACAAGAATTGCAAAGATTCAAGGAACTTGTCCTGGATAAAGATATCGCATTGGAGACTCTTCAGACGCGCAATATTGAGATCGATAACGAGAACAAGCAACTATACGAATTTAAGACAAAGGTTCACGCGCGCGAGCGAGAAATCGCCGAGTTGCAGGACGAGATCCTACGATTGACGGATGGTTTGAATAATCGGGATCAGGTAATCCGCAAGTTGGAAGAGATGGCAAGACGAATGAGTGACGTTCAGTCGGGAACTTCCTCGCCATCATCTTCTAGCAACAAGGACCAAGAGATCCATCATTTGCAGGAGTTCCTGAAGGAAAAAGACAAGGTAATCAGGCAGATGAGCGATGATAGTAAGAGTCTGCATCGAGCACTGGAGACTATTCAAAACAAAATGAAGGAATCGGGTAATATTGTAGAATTGAGAAGGAAATTGAAGGAAGAACGCAGGCTGAATGAGGAATTGAGGGATATGGTGCAGAGCTTGCAAAAGGAATTGGAGCTGAAGGATGCTTCTGTGCGACGTTCACAGGACGATAGTGATATCGAAGATATGGTCCAGCGAGAACTGAATCTTTCCGCACGATTGGATAAACAAATTATGCAGGTAATTAAGGACGACGAGGTTGTGGATGGAGTAGTAACGGAGGATTATCATCAAAGAAATAATATAGTACGCAAGGACAACGAGTTATTGAAGAAACTAAAAGATGACTTAGAAGTCGAACGAGATATAATGAGACATCAGATCGCTGAGTACGAGGATCGTATTCTGCAACTGAAGGCGGATTTGACGGAAGAGACGAAGAAGGCGGTTAAGCTGAATAAGGAACTTCTTTCAGAAAGAGACGTGGTGAAGTTCTTGAGGATGGAGATAGAGGAACATCGTCGGATGGCGGAAGTAGGGCGAATACAGGACACTGAGTTGATCGAATTCCTGCAAACAAAGTTGAAAGCCTCTCTGGATAACGAGGAGAAGCTTCGTAATGATCTAGCGTCGATGAGACAACAGCAGATTAATTTGGATTCACAATTGACGTCCATGAGAAAATCGATAGAAATTGAAAACATCAGTAGAAGCTTGTCAAATTTTGCTGCAACCACGCAAAATGAATCGGAGAAGTATGTGCTAATTTTTAGTTTCAATTTTTTATTACTTGTGTAGTGTACTTATATTTATCTACCCATAATCTTTTCACTCTGTTGATATTTCCCGATAGAATTTAATTATATTTTAGCAAAACAAGATAACTATATATTCCAAAAACAATATTTTGTTTCCTAATATTTTTTTCTGTATTTAAGAACGAGCGAAAATCTTGAAGAAAGTCGAAAGCACAATGCGCAACTAAGGGAGAATATAAAGAAACTAGAGAATGAGATGAGTAAGTACGAGAAACAGTTAGAGATCGCAACGGAGGAACAAGAAAGACTAATCAGCAGTCTGGCATTAACCAATGGACTGAAAGAAATCCTAGAGGCAGATCTGCGAAGAACTGCAGAGGAGTTGAAAGCACGAGAAGAACACTGTAATTATTTGCAAGAGCAGGTGAAGATGTTGACTGAAAATATGAAGCAAGATCAACGAGATGCTGAACTGGATGAGATCAAAGAATTGCGCAGAGAGATCAACAACGCTCGAGAAATCAGAATAGAGCTGGAGACTGATATAAATCGTGCGAGGCAAGAATTAAAGGAATCCTCAAGTCAAGAGCAGAAGCTTATGCGCATAGTAGATTCCTTGAAAGAGCGAGAGACGGACCTCTGTATGAGACTAGCAATTTCAAAAGAAAGAGAGAGGAAATTCAAAGATTTAATTGAAAATGCCAAAGATGTCCCCACGAATTTTATGCAGAAAATTAAGGAATTAAGCGAGACAGTTGAGAAATATGCTATTGAGAACAGTAATCTCGAGGATAAAATCGGCAGAATGAGGACAGATAGGGAACTATCGATGCAACGTATAAAGTTGCTCGAGGGGCAGCTGAAAAAACTGAAAAATACACAGGCTTCGAACCAGCAGACAATTCCTATCGAAAGGGTATAACATTTCATTTAATTATTTCAATCTAATTAATCTAAAATTGAAGTAATTCAATTTTCGTATCTTAGAATTAAAAGAAGTTGTTAATAATGATTTAATTTTTATATTTTTTTATAATAATTTGTATGTGTTGAGATTTAATAATTAATTATAATTGAATTTAACTATAATTAGGCTGTAAAGTAAATAGAACAATGTGTGAATTTTGCATTCCAGTTACAAAACTTCTATGGCAAATATTTACGAGTGGAAAGTAGACGGAAAGCGTTGGCTTATCAGAAGAAGTACCTATTATGTATTGTCGGCAGCTATCAGTATTGCGAGGAAAACACGTTATGCGTGCTTGCGCAATTGACTCAAGATCAACGCTCTTACGCGCGATTGTCTCACAACAGGAAGGTGCGTTTCAGGATCGCCGTGTTTGCTATAATCAGTATACATAGGATGAAGTGGTTGATTCAACGCTGGCGAACGGGGAAACGCGTGGGTGCTAATGCTATCATGGGTAGTGTCGATCAATTGATTGATTTGCCGCCTGTCCGGAAAACACCATCAAATCATTCTCCACCCGTGAGAGAAAGGGCGACAAAGTAAGTAAAACGATTATCAAATAGCATTTTTATAAAATCGATGAAGGAAAGATTTGATTATATATGTCACAAATCTTTAATAAGTATATGAAGAGGATAAGCTCTTAAAGATATTATCCAGTAAGAAAACACATTTCTAATTTAGCAATATTATCATTTGGTGGATTATCCAGTTTTTTACTGAAAAAAATATTTTGCTGATCAAACACAATTAATTGGCTCAATCAGTTAATTAATGAATATCATAAGATTTTTCTATTTGTTAATACGATTGCATGTTAATTATTTCGATTGTTTGGTGAAATTTGAAATGTACTTTTTGCGTTTGATTTTACAATGTTATTATATATTAGATACAATATATATTGGATTGTATATTTCAGTGGAGGTAGCAGTTTTATGCTTGGGCAGTATTACCAAGAAGTAAGAAATTTCCAAGAGACACTTGGCGCAGTTATGGCAGAGTCTGGTACTAGTCATATTATCTCAGAATAACATTATATGTATATTTTTAGAATTTGTAGAAATTTAGCTGTACAGTGTTAATTATGAATAATTGTTTAATCAAATAATTGTTCATCAAATAATATATCATACAGTTCGCGTTTTTTAAAATGACTCCGAATTCTTTTAGATTTTTGAAGTAATGCTTGATACGTGATTAATTTTGGATTCTTGAATATGTAAATTTAGATATCTTAAAATCTTAATCAAATGATCAAGAGTTTAAGTACCGTTTCTATATCAAATTATAAAATTTTGGAACATTTCATTCTCTTATTCAGATGCTGCGCTTGATATATTAGCATTTTTTAAAATCAGATTTTTACAATATAAAATTGTTCAACTCTACTTTATCATTTATTATATTTTTCATTTTTTATAAACGCGTTCTGTATTTTATGACTAAATTGCAATCGTCAAAAATCGATTTGCATGGGATTTCTATTTTCGTTCGACTGTACGATTTACATCCGTCCTAATCCGTTAAACAATCAATGGAGAGAATGTAAATTTCGTCAGCTCGACCGGAAATAATTGAAACTGGGCATTTATATGGACTCTGTAATAGACTGGCGGTTTTTATATATTTTTAACTCATTATCGTTTTGCGAAACTTGATTGATGCTATCTATCTCTTTTGATCTTGATGACGCAATTTCGAAGTGTCACCTGTGTATTGCGAGAAATATGAATAATGAGACGTTATTAATAAGCAAGAAGGATGTGTGCATGTAAAGTAGGTTTTAGCGTTGTAAGACACGAGAGGCTTTTATCGAACGTTAGCAAAGTAAAAGCAATTTCTGCGGAATCACATAATCGGCTTTAAGCCAGACTTTGCTTTTATTTACGACATACTGTTTTGTGTAAGTTATCTAAGATATATTGTAGGTAGTATAAATATGTGAACCTGCGTGCCTTGTACGCCGTAAAACGCGTTTATTATTTATTTACCAATGGGATTATAATAAGCTTTTTTATATATCTCAAGTTGCATGTCGTTTTCCTGATGCCTGTAATAAAGAATCAATTTTTTTAATATATCAAACTCTTGTTAAATATGAAAACCGATGTGAAGCAGGATGATGCTGTCATTCGGAATGAAGACATTTGTCAAAGATTCCATTTAAAGTACGATTTCATTTGTTATTTTCGTTTTGTCATAATTATCTACTGTACGCTTATTAATAGTCGGGGAAAGAATATGAGATTGTGTTTTTAGTATATATATATATATTTCTAAAGCACTATATATATATTTACATATATACAATAGTGTATGATAAAATATATATAATAATCGACTAATCGGTTCTCATCAGCGCTATCGTTTCTCTAAATTTATCTAGATACGTCAGTTAAAAGTTTTATATATATATGTATATATATCTATGAAGATAAGGCTTGCTCCTTGCTAAAATGGTAACTTATATTCCCTTTTTTTTTTCGTTTTTCTTAAATTTTATTATAATTTTTGATAATTTTAAATTTCGTTAACTGTGCGTCGATATAACGAGATGTAAAAAAATTTGAAATACAGCTTGTCCCGAATGTCAAATGAACAATCTTATATATCTGATTAGTCGCAATAGAATCAAAATACTTTCTCAAGTGGGAAAATAGCATTTACGCGGTTAAAGCGATTTACGCCGCGCAAGAGAAATTTGTTAGGAAAATTGAAAGATTAGATCTCCGCAGATGTATTTCGAACGTTAGTATTAATAATTACTTTCACATCGGCTTAGTTATCTATAATGCATAGAGTGCAAGTTGGAAACTTGTTCGAGAACCGCTTGATATATCTATCTGTCATACGAGAAGTAAGTAAATTAAAAAGAATTGGTAACAATTCATCCTTATGAAGTCAAAACTTCTCATCTCTATAATGAGAGAACTGGCTTTACGTGTTAAAACGCTTCTCTGCTTTTTGTCACTTCCGCATCTATTTTTATTCCGGGACGAAGCCATTTGCCATTTTTAAGAGAATATCATGATATCCCTTATCTAAAGTTAGACTGTGTTAAAGCGATTTTTTTCTCATCATATTTACTGTTTACGAATATAGTGGTTAAACCATTATATTCAGGATAAAAAGAGATAAAAGAGAATCTAAAAAAGTGCTACAGTCTTGAAGTTCTAATTTCAAGGATAAGATATTTACTATCACCGAAAATGAGTCTGTCTCTCTCGTTCCTTCACCTATTTTCCTATCGGATCGATCTTGCTTCACGAACTAGAGTATACCTATTAATTCTAGCGAATCTTATGACTCGAACATGCGTCTTTAAAGTTCGTCGCGTTGAACGGCACGAAGTAATCGTCGTGCAATTGCCTAACGATGGTCTCTATCGGGCACAGCTTGACGCGCTTCTTGCCCATAAATTCCCCGTCGTCGCTGACGTAGGTGTTTGCGTTCCTACAGAACGGGACCTTCGGTGTGAGGTCCCGGCCGTTGGCGACGATGCGGAAGTAGAAATCGCTGGCGAGGCGATTGTCGTTCCGTGGATTGATCTTGTAGACCTCGATGACGAGCCGCGAGGCGTAATGGGTCGCCACGTCGGAGACTATACCAAGAGCGGTGGCGAGGTATTCTAAAGTCTTGTCGTGGCCGGAATAGAGGACGATCTTGGGCCTGGCCTCAGAGATGATGCGTAGCAAGAAGGTGACGATGCCGCGCAACATCCCATAGGCCTTCAGCAGCCCGTACTTGTTGCGGCTGCTGCTCTTGGCGATCTGCTTCGACTCCCAATCCGTATAGGCGAACAATCCGGTAACGTGATCGCTTTTCACGCACGTTCGTTGGGTGTCGAGGTCCGCGCACGGCAGCGAGGAGCCGTGACACACGTACGTTAACAGGGCATCCCTCAGCGTGTTCGGATCGCACGTCTGCGCTTGATCCGGAAGCTCGAACACGGCGCTCGCCGCCTGCTTGATTAGCTCCCCGACGGCCGGATGGGATTTCAGATGGTTGGAGGTCTCCTGGGGAAAGTAAAAGTAACGTATCTGCAGAGATCCGCATGATCCTCAACGTTTTCGTGAATGCTCCCCCCGGAGCTCTCCGCGAATACTTTATTAAGATCCAACTGAATTATTCGTTTGATACCAATAACTAGAGGAAAACGCGAGCTAACATCTCGATAAAATATTCAATAATAGAATTAAATAGGCTTTGGAGATTCAGAAAAAGTTTTCGTCGATTTTAATTATACTCGTCAAAACTACATTCAGGTGGAGCTTAAATGTAAGCTTGAATCTTCTTTATAATTAATTGTCTAATTGAAAATTCTGAACTTTTCCACAAGAATTTAATGAGAAAATTAATTATTGAAACGGTAGAACGAATTATGAGCTCTCTCGAAATTTTAGGAAAGATTCATACTCTCTTATGCATTAAACATGCGATATATTTTCACGTGTCACGTGGGATACAGATAGCGAACGGAAGTTACGAGCAAGATTATTTTTGTAGAAAACATTATTATCGCGTGTAAGTATTTTATTTAGACAACTCGCACTGAGAAATCAACGTTTGCCAACCTAGAATGACCTAGATAATTTTATTGGATTTCCTGAGAAAGCAAGGAGAAGAGCGATGTTGATGCAGATTATTTAACATGTTTCTGAGAAAACTAAAATGAGATCTTAGATCATTAAAACTTCCTCGGGAAAAGACGGGAATAGCACAAACGTAAATTTATCGAATCTCTCCTGGAAAAGTGGAAAGATGACAAAAGTCCGTTTTACGTACATCTTTAAAAAAATGAAACGAAATTGCGCAAGAAATTCGACATGGGTTTTAATTATTTCGCACAAAAATTACTCGAATTTAAAAGACGATATTTAATAATTGTATTCTTTAAACGAACGTACTAATCGCATAAATTTGTAAACAATTGCAAAGGTTGTTGTATCGCTTGTCAAATTTCACAGGAAACATGATTCATCTCTTGATCTTGCGAATATATGCAGGAAGTCTACGAAATGAACGATTCTTCCTAGAATTTCGCGATCCGTATATATACTTTACCTTCAAGTGCTGTTTCAGAAACTTCTCGGCGGCAGGACAGGCGCACTCATTGCTGCAGAACGCATAGCTCTGGCTCTCCTGTAGGCTGATCCTCGCCAGACTCTGGAAGCCGTCGTTCTCGAAGAGTGCGTACAGTAACGCGACCGCGCTCTGCACGGTCCTGCGATAGGAAGTGCTGTAAACGATAACATCCTTGCCGAAGGAGGTGCCATTGCCGAGATTGAGCCGGTGGTAGTACGCGTTCCTCAGTGCGATTCCGGTCTTCAACAGCTGCAGAATACCGAGGGTGGTGAGCTGGCCGATCCTGCAGTCGCGTGTGTTCGCCGGCAACACGGGGAGGCCGTGGAACGGACCCAGGAACTGGGCCCAGGCAGCCCGAGAGTAGCTCGACGCGTTCTGCACGAAGCTCACGTAGTTCTCATAGATGGTCTCGAGCTCGGTCACAGTGCCGAGTTCACCCCCGCAATTGATGCTGCTTATGTTCCGTATGTGCGTCAGAGGACCCCGATCGCCGTGACGGATGAAGATCAGGATGCCGCTCAGCGTCAAATTGCCATCGAGCTTCCCTGTTAGAAAGTAAGGAAGTAAGGTGCGATATTTTACGTACGATATTTTATGTGCGTTATACACGCAATCTCATATAATAAGATAATTTTGAAACTCTTGTGCTCTATGCGCGTACACTTACGCAAGAAGAAAGTGATTTATACCGATTTCTAGCTCGAGTGAGATCAAGCGGGATTATTGACTTTGTGCCATTTACTATTTATTGCGATTATGCACGAAGAGCTTTGACGATCGACTTCTTTGATACTTGAGTAACGTTTAATATAATTGATGAGGAATTATTGATTTATGATACGAAAATGTTGGTCATCGTGACTAGAATATTCCATTTTCGGTTACTTTTATTCAAAGTGTTATATTATATTACTTTTTATTTAAAAATATATGGATAATTGGATGAAGGTACCTTCGGTGTCTGCAGCTATCTCGTGCGGCAGATTGCAGAAACGAAAGATCTTCTTCGTTTTTGCATCCGATTTTAAATTCCTTGGGAATTCCCGTAGCGACAAATCATTGTTCGGGACTCTCGTTTGCACCGAGGTTTTCTCATCTACGCCGATATATTTATACATACCTGCACAATAAAAGAGAAATTGTCTATAATCGATAGCTTTTAAATCGATTGAATTCATATTATTTTATTTATATTATTATTACGATCTATAAGATATTTTGATTTCATCTGAAAATACATATTGAAATAATTAAACTTGAACCTGTAATTGACACCTTTCATCGACGATAAAATCTTATTTAAAATAATTTCTCATGTTATCATTACGATTTATATCACCAGGAACTGGTTTGAAAAAGAACAACATTCTCTTAGCATTTTTGTTTTATAATTTCTTCCTGTTTAATGCACTTTGATTATTAATATCAATATTATTAAACTTGGATCTAATTGGCAGCTTCTAAATCGACGGCAAAATCTTACTTCACTTATATTATTATTATTATTTATTTCGTTATAGACGCCAGTTTTAAAAAGGACAACATTTTCCTGGCGTTTTTATTTTTTAATAATAAAAGTGTTGAGAAGGTCTACGAAAAAAAAAAAAATCATAAGAAAACAATATTTAAATTAAAAATATAATTAATAAGAACTAAACAATAATACAAACGGCGTTTCGAGCCCGAGTCATTCTCAATGTTAAAACTACAAAGTGATAAGTTTTTATTTTTATTTGAATACAATATAATTTCTTTCCCTCTAATGCAGATTTGGTTTGATTTAATTTTACAGTACATATTAATATTAAAATATATGACGAAACTGCATTAGAGAAAACGTTAGCTCCGTTCTCGATTTATATTTCGGTGAAAAATATAACGTCAACAGAAAAGTTCGAATAGATTACGATGAGTTTGTTTTCTTTCCTGGTGGTCGGTTTAGCATAGCAGTGTGTCAACGACTATGATTGACACTTCCCTTATACTTCACGACAAAAAGAAAGTAAAATAATCGTCACCTTGATAGCATCTGATAACATCCAGCTATATCATCCATTATTGAAAAACTAAAGTGTCTATTATTACAGTTCTATTATTAAAGCCGAAGTGATAACGCGAGTGGAGAAGCGTCAAAGTAACTGCGCGACAGATTCACACTCACATATGCATATCCTATATTTAAAAATAAAACTATCGAAGATCGAAAGATTTAAGCACCTCAGAGAGAATTCGACGAACGTAAAATTCGAGAAACAAATGTATAAGATACGAATGTATAAGAAATTTTCTCTTCCTGTTTTCGAAACGCGATCAATCTTGACGCGAGTTTGCGAGTTTCTTTTTGCGATATAAGACGCAACGCGAAGTCTCGTTTGTATCGTCGCGGACAGATATATATATATATATATATGCGAATCATCACGCGCGTCCTACCGCAGTGTCGAGATCGGAGAACAATGCGATTCGAAATTACGCCGATTTTTACGGCAGGATCGATCTCTACATTTAGCGGGACCATTTAGCGGGACCATTTCCGCATATCGGCGCGGGATAGCACGATGTTTGCGTTTACCAGCGACCAGCAGGAAGATCCACACGCTTAGAATCACGTAGCAATAGAACGCCCTGTGCTGGTAGGAGAGCCGGACCATTTCCGCGAGCATCCCTCAGCGGTTTTTGGCCCCAAGGGACCGATTCGCAGGCCAGCGAGCGGTAACGGCGTTCCGACGTCACGACGACGACGACGATAACGTGGAGCGGCGCGAGGACGAGAACGCGACTTTATTTCCGTCCCGCACGAAGGGGCCGATCGAGGCTGCATCTTCAGACGCCCGTCGACCGCACTTTCCACATATTCGTCGATGGTCCTGCGACGAGAGATTGCGCTCGACCGGACAATCGGCGACGACGATAACAACGACGTGGACAACAAGAAGAATCGCTGACCTCCCTGCGGCGCGTACGCCCGAGATAGAACTGCCGGTCCTGACATGGCGATAACAGGGGTAGATTTGCGAGAGGGTGGTTGTTCCAGGCGCAGGCGCCAACCCGCCGATTACCCTCCACCCTGAGGAGCCGAGCAGAGTTCTCCACGACGGGCTGGTCGGTCTACAGGGTGGCTCACCCGCGACGTTTATCGACCTTCCCTTATCCGGCGCGGTTATCGAATGCGGGGTTCCACGGCCGCAGCCGGTCGGTTATACGCTCTCCGTCGAGAATAGGAGAGTTTTCGTCTTGTCGCGTCGTATAATATTAAAAATAGGTTCCCCGGATATAATAATGAGCTTTCTCTGACAATTACCATCCGACCTGAGAGACGCGAGAGATGTCAAGATGACTGACGGATTATTCCTGCACCTGACCGACTTTTACAGCTAAACACAATCCAAATATTTCTCACACAGATATCTCTTGTATGTCTATTTTAACGCGTGTTTATTTTTTCCGCAACGCTGAAGTTGTCGCGTAATCATATTTGATGCTAAAATAATTCTTTTGACAGTCGTGTGTTTATTTTAATTTATTTTTTCTTCAGTACTGTAATTATACATGTAATTATAAGGCAATTTTAATGCTGAAAATATTTTTGACGACTATATTTTGCGAACATTTTTTATTTCTTCTTTTTTGCCATTTTTAATATGGGAGTTTCAGAACACCGATGATTAAAAAATTCAAAGCATCGTCAATATACAAAAGCAAAATAAATCAAGGAAAAATAAAATCACTTCAACGAGATAATGAATCCAGTTTCTATAAAATGATAAGCTGCCCGTAGCAGATGCTTGTCGAACCTTTGTTATTTCATTAAAAGGATTATTCCGTATTAATTTCAACAACGTATAGACATAGACCCGCCTAGTTTCCTTTGCATACGCAATAGCGAGCTAAAATGATCGTATCAAGCGTGCAATCAGCACTAAGCCGGTTAATTCCGGTTGCCTCAGTTTTCGAAATTAACCGGTTTAGCGGATATCTGCAATGGTTATGCCTCGATCACTCTTCATTACAATTAAACGCAGAATTCGCGATGATCATTGACAGCCATGACCCCCCTCCCTCCTTGGAGTCTTCTTTTTTAAAAAATATTTATAACAAAATATTACATAATATTTTTAATATTTCTGAAACGCTTAATCACGATTTTGATATTTCAAAAATATTTTGTAATTTAAGAAATTCTTAGATATAAAAAATATAGATTCTATCATTCTTTTTTATGTTAATATAATTTTAAATAAAAAATTTTTTTATGAATTATACACTTAAATAATACTTTTTCAATATAACAATTTAAATAATAATTTAATACTCTATCTTTTCATATTTGACCTTAAAAAAATATTTTGCTCGCGACACGTCAATGACCCTTTCTTAATAAATTTCTGGATTCGCCAATGCCGTCAATTCACGGTCGCATATCGACGATTCGACCTTGTCGATGATTGTGCCGCTCTATTTCGAAGGTTTTCGACGATATTCGGATAAGCGTAAAATAAACACGAGCGTGAAAAGCAAGGCCTAGCGCCGACGACGGACCCCAGGATCGAGCCGAGGAAAGCGGATGCCGTGATGTCATCGCAAGCGAACGGTTTCGCCGCGCCGGGCTCTCTCGGCTCGGCCCCGTAAATATATTCCGTTTAAGACTGATGGCTAGATTGTCCCGCAGTTGACGGTTAGTCTCGGGGTTCTCATATCGGGGCAGTTGATGCGACGTTACATCGGCACAGGCCGAGTTACACGCGAGTAATCGCGCCCGTCTACCATCGCCGCGACGCACCGCGCCGGGCACGTAACTGTCATTGGTAATTGAACGCCCCCGCGGCATTGCGGACTTAAACGGTCCCCAGACGAGCGATATTCTTTGTTAATAAGAAATTCCCCTCCTCTCTCCTTCGTCCGAAAGCGATGTCTCTTGCTAGAGCAAAGAGATAGGACGAATGTGTTCGGTGAACCGATTAGAAAACGCGTCGATTGTATTTCTTTCTTGAATAAGGCAATATTTTTATTACGTGCATTTATTTTGTTGACAAATAAAAAAACACTATCCAGCGGAATAAAAAATCATAATGACATTTAAATAGCGCCAAAATAAGTCTCAAAATAATTATTAAAAGTCACTTTTCAATTAATCACGATGTTATTGTGACCTGTATTCTGCTTTCTTTCAATATCTGAGTATAAATCTGATATTTTATATCAGATTTATAAATCAGGAAATATATTTTTATCTCGATTTAATTTATAATTATGCAATGATATTTTAAGAACGCTGTCAATACAAATGTTGTTCTTTTCTAAACAATACGAATCTGTTACTTTGCACGATTTTAAAAATAAGTATTATTATACTGAAAAGTTAAATAAAACGTATAAAGCAATGTAATAATATCAAGATCAGACAAATCAAGTATTTAAATATCGAGCTCGAATTACCATTACTTATAAATTCAAGAAATTCAGTCTCTCTTTCGTGATATTAGTATTTTATAGAATTAATGACGACACTTTTCAGCGAGATAAAATGCGCAGTTCGTGAGGATTAGAGAGATGCGATTGTATATATATTACTTGTAGTTCAACTCATTAGGATCCTTTAAGCGTTCACGTTAAATCGCCTTGCGACTATCACCGCCTTGGCATTGGGGAGCGACTATCATTTCTCTTACAATTAATTTAAGTTTCTCGGCGTCTAATGTCGGCGAGCGAGAGAGCATCCGGTATAGTGATGTAACGCGCATCGTCGTGAAGAATAAATTTGTAGCAGGCTGCACACACCAGGGCATTGTGCGACATTTCTAGACGTACAGTCGTCACCATTGTCGTCATGGTATGGCGTCGCGTTGCGTCGATCGCTTCGCAATTCGCTTCGAAATTCGTGAGTAGACTTCAGAATTCCTCCGCGATCTCGTTGCGCAAATGTTCCGCATCGACAGTCGCGGGAGCAAAGTATAGCCTAGAATGCATCCTCAAGGATCGCCGATTGAGCGTGTTTGATTGGCGATCCCACTCTGTCTCGTCATCGTTATCATCGTCGCCTGCCAGCGTGCCCGATCTCGCAGCCTCGGCAAGATCATTACCATCGTCATGGAATGTCATTGCGGTAATGATAACGAGCACCCTCATAACGAGATGCGCGGCAAGCAAGAATTCGTGATGTATCTACTTGCGTTAGATACTACTTTTTCAACAATTTGTTACTTTTAGCGCATTTTTTCAATAATGCAATTATTGAATTTCGCAAATTACATCTAGCTGTAGAAAATTAAACAAGCTTTTCGCAGTAATTATCGAGAGAACAATGGAGGTTATCATTATATATTGTGAATTATAACATTATGCTAAATTATAATATGAGAATGTATTTGAATATTGAATAACTATGCTGCGTTGAATATAATAGAAATTGTTTACTCTGATATACATAGATTGAACGAAAGTTTTTATCAATCTAGAATAAGGAAAATTGACTTCAAGTTGATTAAAGAAAAGCTCGGATCAAAAATTTATTTTTATTTGACAGATTATTTGCTATATTTTTGTAATACGACAGATAAGTATTCAGTTTCAATAATTTTTCATGCGTGAAATTATTAAAAATTTAATATTCATCATTTTTAATTTTAATAATTAGTTTCTAGAAAAAAATAATGAAATATAACATTCTGAAATCCGAAAAAGCATAATAAAATTTGTTTTTATCTTTAGTTTTCTTCTTTTTGAACTTGATATTCATGTGATAGTGTATTCTCCAATGTATTCCCTGAGTTAAAACTGAAATTGCTTTGCTCTTCTTTTCGCAAAAAGACCGTGTAAGTGGTAAATTCAGGCAGTTCTTTCTAGAAGAAACGTGGACCAGATTAAATCGTCATTTTTAACTTAAGGCGAGTTGTTGCAAGACTACCAGCTTAAAGATTCTATCTGAAACCGAGTAATATCTTGAATCTTGTGGGTCTTAATTGACGAACATATACCCTTAGTGAAATTCAAGCGGATGAATGACGAAAGCGAATGTGCGTCTGGAGAAACTATAGATTAGATTGAGCAAAACGCAAAATTATATCTCTCAAGAGTGTAACCGTGAAAGTGTCAGCATTCCACAGATTTGATATTTTAAATTTAAATTATTCCGCAATTAGTCCATTTTTTCGAATATAATGTCGTTTACAATTATTTCATTCAATTTACTTATCTTTAGTAACTTGTCCTCAATAAATTATACTAGTTTTAATTAGTACTCCATTTTGAAATAGTTTTGTATGTATATATATATAATTATGTAATTAATAATTGCAAATATTTGGTTAGCAAATAATTTCCCTCTTTTTGGGATATGGAGCTATTAATACCAAATAATGTCATTAATAAATGTTTATGCATATGTATTTATAGCAAATATTTTGCGAAAGATTACGTTTCAATACATATTTAAAAAAAAGTATACTAAAATTAGTTGAAATTTAAGCATTTGACATTGTTTTAAATATGGAGAACAAGAATAAATATTTTCGACACACCATGGCATTTTATTTCTACAAAGGAAAAAACGTAGCTGAGATCCATGTAAATAAATACAAATTGTTTATCTTTTAATATTCATCATTACATAATTAGATATCAAACGAATACACAATGATAACACATTCCTTGATTTAAATAGCACTTTATTATCTTTAATTTCCATATATCAAGATGTAAATCAATCTATTTTTGTCGATATTAACGGATGCATAAATAATGAGTGAAATTTAATACATTTTTTGTTCAATTGATTAATTTCCATTGATTAACTTCATCGTTTTTAGTTAAATTAAGGAATGATACAATTAAGTAGAAGCGACCTAAAGAAATGGTTAAAAATAACTCAAATTATATATAATTTGACATTATGAATTTAATAAGAATAAATTTAATTTGTTGTTAATAAATGAATTTAACAATGTATTTCAAAGATTTTATTCTATATCATACTAATCGCGCAGTTTCATTCAGTAGCACGAATATATAAACTGGTGTCTAAAACTAACACTTTTACAATTTCAAATTTAAATTAAAATGAAAAAATTTCCATTAATAGATTCCGTGACAAATGAAATCGACTGCCCGACAGACGGTGGAAATCACATTAATTCGTAACGTTGAATAAGTTTTCGAAGAATTTCCCCAGAGTATCGTGAAATATATCCGCAAATATATTCGTTATCGCGAAACGATCGAGTCGATCAAGCGCGAAAGCGTGACGCAAAAGGAAACGCTGGGTCGTAGAGTGCAGTAAATGCGTTGCGGTGGACGAAGACTTTTATCACACTCCCGGGTGGAAGGTCAGCTTGAATGTCTTGACGTTCTTGTGATAATGCATGTATTTACGGCTTATCAATTTTCCTTTGTCCTTCTTAATAGATGCCCAGCATAGTTTGACATCGTTAACGCACGGTATGGATCAATTCGCTCGCTTTCAAGTCACGCTGATTTATAAAATTGCGCGTCATAGAAGGTATCACGGATGTTCAGGACGTTCAGCTAACGGTACGATGCTGAAAAAGAACAAGAGAACCAACTCGTGATAAAGAGCGTACCGATAAGCAAATCGAGACGACTACGGATCGAGTTACTTAATACTGCGAAACGTTTGACCACAGCGTGTCAAACAGTGTGCGCATAAAAATATATACATTTGATGAATGACGGAAAAGAGAGAGGGAAAAATCTGAATGAAGTTTAACAATGATTTATTTACGGTCAATCGCCGAGAAATTTAACGTTGTTTTAAAATTAAAATTAATTAAACGTCAAGACGTTGCTATTCGCGAATGATATGGCAGTTCATTGAAATTTCTGCTGAAAGGAACTACTTTCAAGATTTACATAAATATATATTAAAAATATAAACTTATGAATTGCGCGTGTTATGATTTTTATCGGTTGGCAGAAAGCGTGTATCAAGGCAACTTATTTTTTTTTTAGGAAGGAGAAAGAATATATGAATATTTATTACGCATTATATTTTTATAAACCGGAATGTCAAGAAATATGAATTATCTAGTGGTAAGAAAATGAATTTTTTGTAATAAACTTCTCTCTCATCTCTCTTCCGTTTTCTTTCAAAAGGTTTCATTAATTTCTAGGCGTGATTTTTTTCATTCTCGATTCAAATTTATTTCGCGTGAGATTGTTTCTTCGCTTTTTTTCTTACAGAAATCTACTACTGGCCAATACTGAAAAACAGTAATTAATTGCTTATTTGGAGTAATAAGGTACTGCCAACACAGTGCTTTTAATACTTAAAATAAGTAATTAATTACTTTCTTTCAGTAATAAATTAGCCAGTATTAAATTTCTGTTATCTCGGTTCAAACGCAGAGAAGTCGCGCGAACGTAATTCGCGGCCGGAATGCCGTTCTCCCCGAAGATATCGGGCAATATACGGGAACACCGCGGTCAGTTGCCCGTCTAGCACAACGCGAACGAAGAACGGAATCGGTTACAAACTATTACGTAAATCAATGAAAGCGAGATTTCGTTTGATGCGCCGCCTCCGCTGACGTTTCGCGAAAACGACGGCCGTTTATATGGACGCGACCGCTCCGGCAAGGAAGTATCAAACTAGATAAGCGCGCGGCCGCATTCATTACTTCCGTTTACCACGGATGTGCCACGCTCCATGCGTTTGAGTCGCATCGCCGAGCGAAGATCAGTTCATCTCTGAGATTGTACAGGACGGTCTACAAGCTGCCGTCCGCTTCTCGCATACCTTCTTTATGTATCTCTATTTTCTAACGGCACTGGTTAATAGATCGGAACCGTTAGATAATTAATATATTGTGTAACGTTTGGAAATTAAATATAAAAATAGTTCAGAGAAAGGATTATTAATTGAATGTTCTGCTTGCGATAATATAATACTTTGATTATACCACCTGATTTCGACATTGAGCTTAATAAATCTAATCATTTTAATATTTTCTTATTCTTACTGTTTTTAAATGTCTCAATATAATTTGTGTTGTTTCTTCAATGTTTTAAGTACTTTGTAAAATTATTCTTAATCTGATAAATGAAACCATTATTCGCAAAAATGCGTGACGAAATCTTTGCAAATTTTACGTATATCCAAATATGACAAAGTGATAAAACGTTCATGGAAAGACCGGTTTTGCTGAAGTATCTAAAAATTTAGCTAGATACATATTTGAAAATAATTATATATGACTCTCTCCTTTAAACTTACTAGAATGTCAAAATTTTTTGCAGTATTACTCATCTTGAGATTTATATGAAATCATTTGGATGGTCCAACAAAATTGTCACATCTAAGTAAATATTTATTAAATATAAACATGATTTGATACAAAAACCATTAATTTGATTTAACTATCATTTTTTTATTGAGTAAATATTTATTTATTGTAAACAAATGTTTATTTAGTACTATTAAAAAAAATATGCATTAAGATTTTTTTAATGCAGTAAAAAAAGGAGGGATTTTCAAAAGGCTTGCAGGAATTTCCAAATCTTGACTTTCCCTGATGAACGCCGAAATTTCTTCGAGATTCGGGTGAGATGTTGCTTCTCAAAATTCACGCGGACGAGCTTCCTCTTCGTGACGCTGCTCCCTCGCGTAGATCCCGTAGATCGCTCTCGCGCGAGCATACGCTTCGAGCGGAGGAACGGAACGGAGCTGACTCGCGCGGCAGGCACGAGGGCGAGTGTAAGCAGGTACGAGCGGAATCTCGAGCGAGGCAACTCGCCGAGCAGTCAGTCCGTATCCCGCTTCTCGGCGACGACGTTCGACTCGCGCGCTTTCCTTCACGCTCGCCTCGGCAAACGAATTTTCGATCATCGATCATGACACGCGGACGGACGAGGACGTGCAGGTGAAAGACGTTTTTCCCGCGATCTCTATCCGTTTGACCGAAGAGGTACACGCGACGAAGTGCCACCGCGAGGAAAAGAAGAAAAAAGGAGACGAAGAAGAAAGAGAGGAGAGAGATCGATATCGGCTCGGATACTGCCGGAAGATCTAGTTGATGGTGACAAAATTTATTGTGGAGAGTTTGTGGAGGGTTTAACGCGCATCCGGCTGAGGAGCAAGGTAATTGTCACCGGCGATCGATCCCGATGATTTTGAGCGGGAATTGATAAAAAATTTTGCGCACTCGCAACTGAAGATACGCTTTTCTGCTTTCTCTATACTTTCCGTTAGAATCTTCGGTCATTTTTATTAACGTTCTTTGCCTAAATTTCAATGAAACGTGGTAAAAAATATTTTTGCGCTAATAACTTTGTATTTTTACGGATTTATATATAGGTATATTTTAAATTTCTTTGTGTGCGCGACGTTAATATAGATAAGATACAATTGAAAGAAGCAAAAGACAAAAACAAATTAATAAAAATAGTTAATTAATACTTTAATTAACACTTTAATTAAACGTTATACCGATTTGGACATAATGGAACTCTTCCTTACTATTTAACGTCCTTTTGAAAAGCGACATGAGTTTACGTGCTCACGCTTTTGAGGAGAGAAAGCAGAATAGAAATAATTATAGAAAGTGAAGACGAGGAAAACGGACTTGCCACGAGGCAATTAACGAGCTAGAATTAATTACACAATCCGTATTATTCGGTAAGTAATGACGCTTAAACGAGTCGTAATCGTCTATCAAGCCGTCCGTAACATTCATTACAAACTGTTACAAGTTAACACGCGGATACGGTTACAGCGACTGGAATAAAAACGGACGCTCAGCTCTTGCAATTGAATGGTCGAGTTGACTTTTCTCTCCAAAGTTTACGAAACTGCACGACAAGAACGATTTTGTTAAAATATCTAAAAATTTAGGTAGGTGGTTGGTTTAAAATAATTTAGGAAATTCAAGCATAATGAGAGTAAAAAGTTGAGCTGTAAAAAGTTTTAATATAGTCTCCCGGTGAAAAAATTTTTATGCATGAATATGTACAAATATGTATAAACATACATGAATATTCATAAACATGTATAGTCATATATGAAATATATTTATACATGTTCATACATCTCTCTTTCTATTATAACATTACTTTTTAGTGTAATAGAAATAATAGTAGTAATGTGAAAATATAAAAAATAATTAAAGGGATAATTTTCGTATTATCCCTTATATTTTTCGTTTTAGAAAAAACAAATTTGAAAAAATTGTTCATACATAATTATACATAATTTTATATTTAATTATATATAAGTAATTTTTTTACATTTCTTTAAACTTGATTTTTTCTAAAACAAATAGCGTGAAAATTACCCTTTTAATTATTTTTAATGTTTTCACATTACTATTATTATCAGGAGACACGGTAGTGTCTCGGTGCTAAGCCAAGCGCAACGTTTCTATTATACTAAAAAGTAATTTTACAAAAGAAAGAAAGAGGAATGTATGGACATATTTCATACATGTTTATACATATTTATACATATTTATGAATGATGAATTTTTTACCTATACTGAAAAAAAAATTTGGTAATATAGCTACCAAATGTTGAGTGAAATAATTTCAATAAAATGTTTGGTTAATATAATCAAAAATAATTTTACTTTTTTATATAAATATTTAGTAAATATTATCGAAGATAATAATAATAATACAACCAACCGTTTGATAATTACTGAACATTTAGAAAAGTAAAATTATTTATGGTTATATTACGAAACCTTACATTGAAATTATTTTACTCAATATTTAGTAACTATTACTAGACTTTTTTTCAGTGTAGCAATCAGTTTGAGAGTCTTTCATAATTACTTTGGTAGTCCAACAAAATTATTTTCAGATTCTTATCTCTTACTAAATTTTTAAATACTTCAGCAAAGTCGTTCTTTCCATTGCGACTGTGAGTCTAATAAAATTGAGGTTTCGACAAAAAGGGATAACGATCTCCAAAGCCGTATCTCATGGAATAAACATATTTCCACATTTGGAGAAATTAATTAATGAACTAATCCGCATTGTGTTTTTTTAGTTTTTTCTTGTTAAAATTTCTCTCGCTGAAAAGTGCTGCTCACTGTGTAAACAGGAAGTGCTTTTGTTATTACGATTATGTTATGCTCGCATAGTTTAGTGCGAGCCTTAGTCATCATTTACGGCGTTATAAACCCCGCCGCCGTCGACTCATTCGTGTTAACTCATTGTCTCAGAACTTATTATCTTATTAGAGGCCATTGTACCGTCTCTAAATAATAAAATGACGGCGGCCATAATGGGAATCGGTTGTTTCGTGGAACTACGGAATTTTTTGGAAGTGACAATATCGTGCAGAGAATACGCAAAATTTAAAACGTGTTAAGAATCTGCAAGGAAATTTTTATGAAATAAAAAATTTTTGCACCTAACAGTCAAAATAAATCGCAATATCAAGTTAAAATGAAACGGATTGTATCCGTATACTTTGACATGTTTCCTTTTATTTTATCATGCTATTATATTTTAAATCTTGGCATAATCGTGAAACTTAAGAAAAAGCTTATCTGCAAAACCTATGTTGCGTTATATATAGTACATTACAAGTTTGTAATATGATCAGTTACAGATATAATACAAGAAAAAAAACCAATTTTGCTGAAGTATCTAAAAATTTAGTGTTAGTTATAAAGTCAAAAATAATTTTGTTGGAATATCAAATTATGTAGGATGTTCACTGGTTGCTAGAATGTCAAAAGTTTGCAGGATTATCATCACGTTAGAGCAAAATCGTTCTTTTCGTGTAACTGCGACGCCAATTACTTATCAGCTGCAGCAGTAAGCATGTCAACTTTGAACGTGATATCCAAATCCGAAAAAACATTACTTTTCTCTTTCTTTTCTTTTTTACTTAAATGTATAATCTGAATAATATTTACGTTTTATTCTGAACACAATCAACGCAATTTCACGTGGCAGAGCAAAGATTTCAGTCGGTTATAAAAAGTATCGCTCTCCAACAGCGGGTCAATCAACCGCGCTGTTGATATATTCCTTGAACATCCCCGTCCCCGTAACAAATTGTTGACCTCGGAGGGTCGGTGGGGAATTGCATATTACTGATCGACAAATCCGTAACGAGGGGACGCTGCTGATATTCGCAAAGGCCTCCTCCATCGATCATTTTCGTCGCACTGAGAAAATCATTTTGAAAAGAAAGCCCTGTAAAATGTTGTTGCGAGACATTTATTGTTTTTTAATTTCTGGTTAGCTTATCAAAATTATTTTCAAATTATTATAAAGCTCGAAGCGTGTCAAAAACAAGATTTTTCTAAACATTAAATTATCGAATTCAGATAAGATCAACTTTTAATATTTGCGAAATGCGAATAAAAAATGATCCATTGAAATCGAAAAATTTTGTGCGGAGCTTGGATAAACATCCCTGGTGCTGTCAGATGATTTTGATTAAAATAAATATATAAAGCCAAAGCCAATAAAATAGCACGGGAGTTATTAAGAAATACAGATATTTGTACACCGTGTGCAATATTTTATAAAAAAAATATTGACTATACAAGAATTTTCTGAACACCAAACTGTTGAATTCAGATAAGATTTCTATAACATTTGCAAAAGGCGAAATAAAATAATCGAAATATAGATATTGTATTTGTACACTGTGATATTTTATTTTAAAAATATTGATACGATGATGAGTTGACTATACAAGAATTTTCTGCAAAAACACTGGATTGTTGAATTCAGATAAGATTGATTTTTAACATTTGCGAAAGGCAATATAAAATGATTGATTAAAATTGAAAAATCTGCGCGATAAAGGAACCTGAATAAACACTCCTGGTGCTGTCAAGCGATTTTGATCAAAGTAAATATATAAAACCAAAGCCAATAAAATAGCACGAGAGTTATATTAGGAAATACAGATATTTGTACACCACGTGCAATATTTTATGGAAAAGATATTGACCATATATGAAATATTGTTGCAATTGATTAAAACGTCAGCCAGCAATTTCAGTGCTACTATACTGCAGCAAGCGCGACATAGTGAAGATGCGGTCGCGTCCTTCACCATCTGTCAGTCACTCTGAATTTATTGCGAATTTATTCAACACGCGTCTGCGGCCCGATTGTTACGATTATTATCTGAAGATAATCTTTCTTTTCCTTTATCAAGCATTATTGCCATAATTCGCGTTTATCGCGAACGAATTCTACGCGCCTCAATCGATCGCTGGCACGAAATTAACGTTTCACGTATTATTTCCTCGTGAAACTCACCGCGAATTAGAGGGAACGCGCGTGCATAAATTACGTTGGTTACACGTGCAGGAAAGAACGGTTTTACTGCACTGAAAAAAAATTTACTAAATCTTAATACATATTTCTTTGAATATTACTACTGAGTAAATTTACTTACTCAATTAAAAAAATAATAATTAAATCAAATTAATAGATTTTATACCAAATAAATATATATTTACGTTTACTAAATATTTACTTAGAATTATTCAAATAAATATTTATTAAAACTTAGTATTTTTTCAGTGTAAGGTATTTAAAAATTTAGTTAGATACAGATATGAAAATAATTTTACTTGGACTATCAAAATAATTATGTAGCTAATTACGTAATCTGCTTATTAAAATGTTAAAACTTTTTGTATCATTGTTATCAATGGCTAAGCGTTTTATATAATTATTTTGATGGTCTAACAAAATTTTATTATTTTTACATGTGTACCTAGCTAAATTTTTAAATACTTCAGCAAAACTGTTCTATCCGTGAAAAGATCCGTTTGCCTTTCTATAGCAGGAGAAAGGTATGGTAGTTTTTCGAGGAACCAGTCGAATGGACCACAACGCGGGGACACTTGTACAATCTATTTAAATTAGAGAAAATAGAGTGCGAGAGGGGAGTGTCGCGCGCGCGGAAAGAGAGAGAGAGCCTTCTCTCGACCGTCCGGTACCGTCCGGGGCCTATCGCGCGATGTCGCCGACGGCCGATTCTCCGTAACCGATAAATTAACTCACGAGATATATCTTCCGATTTGAAAGCACGCGACTATACACGATCGGCGTCGGAGCTGTGCCGGCCGTCGACGGTAATCGCTTCGTTTTCGACGGAAG